AAACAGACAAAAGACAAACATACAATTATCTCAAATCAAGATACGATACCCTGACCTGCCGCATGTTGCTATTCTCAACACTCTTCCTTCTTTTCCTTCATCTCCTTTTTAGGATCAAGTGTCGGTTTTCTTTCCCATAGATACTACTAGTGTACTCTACATCTAGCACCCCGGCTAGCCTTGACCGAGTACATGATGTACATGTAGACTTGATCACATCTATGAACTACACGAGTCGATTCAGGTTGCTGGGTTTCTGGATAGATTGACTTGCTAATTTTTAGATCTTTTTTATTCCTGTCTCTGAACAGAAACAAATCTCGTGCATGTAAGAGAGAGAGAGAGAGAAAAAAAAATAAAAAAAGGATATCCGGAGATGGTGACGGATGGAGAGTTTTCTGTTTTCTCTCGAATTTTTTTTGTTTCGGAAGTGGTATCAAGGAAGCATAGGGTTCATTCTCATCCTAGATTTATATCCATTTTTTTCCCGCAAGATTTCCAAAAAAAAAAAATTACTCGACTTTGCTCTCAAAGTTCTCGCCCTCGACCAGGTCGGGGATGTCGTCCTCATCCTCATCGTCCTTCTTGTCGGCGCCCTCCTTCTTCTGAAGGTTCTGGTAGCTCTCGGCCAGCTTGCGCAGGGAGGCCAGGCTGTCCGGGCCGAGCTGGTTGAGGATGCCCGGGACGAGCTCGGTGAGCTCCTTCTCCTCGCCGTTTCCGTAGATGGCGAAGGTGTTGGAGGGGACGGCGGCGTGGACTGTTCATTTCACCATTTTAGCCTTGTTTTTTTCCCTCTCCTAGAGTTTCATGTTTTTGAGGGTGTGCTTTGTTACTAACCCTTAGGGGCAGAGAAGTGGATGACGTTGCCGTCCTCCTTGAACATGTTGACCTCCTCAATCGCCTGGATGGGCTGGACGTTCATCTTCTTCAGGGTGGTCTGAAGCTTCTTGTCGTCGGCGCCGGACGACTTGTGGACCTTCTTGACCTTGCGGCGGGGAGTGCCCTTGCCTCTAAACACATTGTCAGTTAGCCCGTCTCTAGGTTATTGACCACCGAATCTATGCAATAGCTCTTTTCTCGCTCGGTTGGACTGATAAAAGTTGTCGCCACGATGATTCCGGGAAAACTTGGACGGGAAATAGAAGGTATATATATACGCACCCTACAAAAGAGAACGAGGTTAGCTTATCAAATCAAAACAGACCGGGGCAGGGCATTTCCAGTTCCCAACAGCCCTCTCGCTCGCAGATTCAAGCCCTTGTCGCGCGAAAATCGAGAATCTCATTTTCGAGGGGGGGGGGGGGGGGAACCAGAACAACCCGCGACGTTCAAAGAGCAAACACATACCAATCCGCACGCTCGCCTGCATCCTAGCCAACTTTGCCTGATCCATGGTGACGAGTATTCGTTTCGATTGGGGAGAAAATCTGGCGCAACAGAAACTTGTCAATTAACTAACACATACACACAATTCGTTGACCGTGACGAAATCCTGTTCTGTGCAGGTTCGGGAAAACGAGTAAGCTAAGCGGGAAGCCCACACGGAAATGTGGGATGTAACTTGGGCAAGGTCGTCGAGTCCGGAAACGATCTGGGTGAGAGAGACAGAGAGGGAGGGAAAGGAATAGACCACGTACCGAGACGGTTTTTGATTGTGAGGTTTGAGATGGAGGTTGGTGGGGGGGGGGAATCAATTATCTTCTGATGGAAGAGTTGGGGGAGGAGAGAATCTGAATTACACCACCGCCGGAGGGAAGCTCATTCACCAATAATCTTTGTGGGCGGGGGGGGGAGGAGAAAGATTTCTACGACAGGAACAGATAGATACAAGCTGAGCAAAGGGTTCTACAAATAAACGTGTCTTAACAGTAAACTATAGGCATCATATCTCCTGCTTAATATCTACAAGTATCTCCTGCTAGTTGAATGGTCTGGCATAATCGCATCTCTCGCCTGGGCAGATTCCATTTGTGTGCCGCCCGCGGTTGGTGACAGCGGCAGAGGCTCTGCTCGGCTAAACCCTAACAATAGGCGGCAGATTGGCAATAGGCTCATTCTTGCCTGTAGTTGGGTGCTTTTAGCTGGTAGCTGGTAAGTGGCTAGATAATAGGATGAAGGAGATAGCAGTAGTGATTTATATCTATATAAGAAAAAAAGAAAGATGGGAAAATCCAGTATTCTCTTGGTAATGATTTCTACTATGATCGAAGAAACGCCCAGAGTTGGGAACTTGGGACACTCACCTGGTCACATGCTCACCGCCCAGGCGTCTATATCCCATACCTGATTGGGCAATAAGGTAGATACTAACAGTGGTGAGAGTATTCTATAGATCTGAGTAGATTGAGAGTAAATTATTCATTAGATTGACTGTTAAGCATGATTTTATCAACAAGAAAAAGATATATACCAAGTATTTAGATGGTAGTAGTAGTATCCAAAATAATTCGATGATCTGGTAGTAACCAAGATAATAAATCAATTCAATGTTTGGCGATTTCTTGCTCCGTCCACTCCCACAGAGCTTTCGCCATGTCGACATCCGAAACGAAACGGTTACACCGACTCATCTGCCCGATGGGGATGTAGTACGCCCCGTTCGTCAGTCGCTCCCTCGGCATCCCCGCCACATAAAGCTGGGTCAGGGCGCCGGTCCGGACGCTGCGGAAGAACAGACCCATGGCCGCTTTGATACCGACCTCCGCGCGGGCACTCTGCGACTTGGCTGTTTCATACAGCTCACTGGCAACGACTCCCGGGTGGACCGAGACGGACAGGATGTCCGGGTACCGCCGCGCAAGCTCCGACGCGAACATGATGTTGGCCGCCTTGGATGCGGCGTAGCGGGTCCAAGTGCTTACAGCCAGCAGCGCCTCGGTGGAAGTCATGGTTTCCAGCGGAGGAGCGGCCTGGCTCGCGACCGAGGCGACGGCGACGATTCGCACATCAGACGGGGTGTTATCGGCAGCAGCACTGTCAGCGGCGACGGTTCGTTGAAGAGTCGGTAGAAGCAACTTGGTGAGGAGAAAGTGGCCGACATGGTTGGTGCCGAACTGGATCTCAAATCCCTCCTCGGTGGTGGTGGCGGGATTCGCCATCGTCCCGGCGTTGAGTATCAACAGATCCAACCGATCGCTTTCGGAGGTAAACTTTTCCGCCGCTGCCCGGATGGACGTAAATGAAGCCAAGTCCAGCGGAAGATAGCGGATATCGACCGTGGAGGAGAGCTGCGCCTGGATCGAGGCAATCGCGGCGCTCGCCTTGGTTTCATTGCGGGCTGCTAGATATATACGAGACGGATTATGGCGGGCCAGTTGCGCGACAGTCTCTTTCCCTAGCCCGGTATTTCCTATTGATCCAAAAATTAGCCTTGGTTTATACACCCGCAATACATATATTTATTTATTTGTTTGTTTTTATTTGACTTCTTTCCGAGGGGGAAGGGGGAAGGAAATACCTCCTGTGATGAGAATCACCCTGCCTGAAAGGTCACGGATATCTCTCTTAGGATCAAACGAAGCACCCAACAGGCCAAAGGTAGCTTCATTGAGCGTGAAACCAACACTCGACCAGGATTCCAACGGACTGTAGAGACTGCGTTTGACGACTTCGTACCCCGCCAAGAGGTCCCTCGGTGACAGGATATCCCTCAGCATGGCTTCGACAGCAAGACGCAAACTGATCCGATTCAACACTGGATGGGAAATGAGAGAGAGAGACCTTTCCTTGTCACGATCCCTCCCTGTGTGGTGGAGCCATCATGGAATGTTAAGCACGTTGAAAAAAAGGACTCCCCCCCCCTACCAGCCAGCCTTGGACAACCGAATGGCTTGAGGCTAACGTCACCTTCTGAACCACAGCCGAGGCAGGGAGTTTTAAAGGGGTTTTCAAGCCGATTGAAAGCCCACTAAAAGGTACTATCGGAGATAATTATCTACATTCAGTCGAAATTAACCAGTATCGATGTAGATATAGGGTTAAGCCCTCAATATATAAATAATTATTTGATCAGAGATGAATGAAGAGTAGTAATATAAATATCTCTCACATGGGATACTGTACTCTGTATATCCTCCGGTCGGTACCACCCTGATCAAGGTTGATTTCACTGGGGTATTTGTGGCGAGATAGAGTGTCCTACTATATATTCACCAGCTGGAGACTGATGCCTTTCCACTAAGGCTAAGAAAACCCTTTCTGACAAGTGATGGATGAATTCCCTACTAGCTGAAGGTATTTATCAAACGCTCTGTTGCCATAGAAACAACCTGGAGTGTATAGGCGGTAGGACAGGCGGTGGAATAAGTACGTGATTATCTGCTTATCAGCATCTTATCGCATTATGGCGTCTGCTTCCTCTTACGGACTCGTTATGAGTAAGAGTTCCTTGGGTGAGATGCCGGGGTTAAGAGATCTGCATAATGAACCCGCATAAACGCAAAAGATCCTCATCTGGGTTGCCCTCTCGCCGCTCTGCGCGCCTGCAAGACTGTCGTCCTGCAACTGAACCCAGCCTTCTCACAAGAGCGAGAGATCGAGTCGCCCGCTATAAGGAGAACAGGCGCCCCCAGAAGGAAAAGTTGAAAGCAGCATCAAATGCTTCTCTGGACTGGCTGCCTGACGGCGGCAAATAATATATCGCCCGGGATATTGTCAACGCGAATACTGATGGTGAGCTCTATGAGGTGTTTATGAATCTCCTGTCTGGTCTGGTGATACCGAGTAAGCGATGGATATTTTTCCAGAAAATAGCACACCGGCAATGACTCTGGGGATAGTGAAGGCGAGAGCGAGGTCAAGAACGAGCTCTGTTATCTCCTCTCTACACGATCAGAGGCAGCGAGCTGTAGAGACTGTTGCCTCAACGCTTGATCAGCATCAAAGTTTCCGCAACCTCGGTAAGCTGCGCGATGGCCACTGCTGTGTCATTACAGGGGATATGGATACAGAGGAATGGGATCGGAGAGGGCGCCCAGATGATGTTGATTTCGGGCCTGTGGAGGTCGCATATATCATCCCATTTGCATACACATCTTGGGAAAAGTCCACAGTAGCTACCTAGATCCTTCCCTACTGATTTATTACTAATTAGAAAGCAATGTCCTGGCCAGACCACCTCTTCCAGGGAAGTCTTGTGGCACTGTTTCCCACAGGTCCGTCTAGTGGGAATGCAGGTATCGTCCATCAACAGCCTCTTGAACGGTATCACACTGCGAGACTATGTGCACACGCAGTTCGGCAAATATACCATCGCCTTCAAACCCACAGTCAGTGGTGCATGAGAATACTGTTAAATGTTACATTTAAGAAACTCCAACCATAATAGGATACCCCGAACGTGTACGAGCGGAAATTATTTAACAGATTTCCAAGTGCCCAGAGAAGAACCTTGCCCCAGAGCAGCCGGATCAAGTTTACGCACGCGCCGGGCACAGAGACTTTTGAGCTACCCAGCACCGCCTTACTCAATTGTCACTATCGCCTGGCGGAGATCCTTAACGCTTCTTGAATAGCAGAAATGATTGATTAACACTCGCGGCACTGGGAGGATTTAAAAGAAAGCGCGGGGGACATGCTTCGTCCAGACGGCAGCACCGACATTGGAGGCTACCTCAAGACTGCCATATGGCAGCGGGGCTATGAGACAGTACAAGAACGAGAACATCACGTCTAGAAATTAGGCAGCAGATAGCAGTAGAATTGTGAAATAAGAGCTCTCCTAATGTTTGGAGTAGACCATTCGGGTTCCTGTACTAACTATGTCCATCTATGTGCGAGAGGCGGTCTGCCGAGAGTTCCACTTTGTATACACAAACGCAACAAGCAGGACAATGAGACCGACCAGGAGAGTAGATGCGATGGGTGGTAATTCTCTCCAAGTCTGGGGGGCGACGGTGGCATTATTTCCGTCAGCTAGTCATAATCCAGCAGAGGCGTCTTCCGACGGAATCGCCTTCTCCAGAAACCGTTCCAGATCTTCAATCTCTCTCGGATCCGCAGAATGCCCAAGACCACTTGTGACGAAGTTAGAAAGGTAGATCAGAGGTAAAAAGAAGAGAGAAAAAAAAGAAAGAGTAGATGAGAGGGGAGGGGAGGGGGAATCCGAGATCCTTACTCGTATGGATTGAAAGACACATTCTCTAGGCCCATCTCCTTCAGTAGCGCCGCCGACTTCATGCCAAATTCGTACTTGACCACCGCATCCTCATCTCCGTGCGCAAGGAAAAAGGGAGTGGTCTTGCTCGGCCAATCCGTAGGGATATAGTTCTTGATCCGATCGCTCAAGGGCAGGTAGCATGACAGCCCGAACACGCCACCGAGCTTCTCTTTACTGGTGACACCCGTAAAGAGCGAGACGGCTCCGCCCTGCGAGAACCCGCCCAATACGATCCGCGAGGGCTTGATCCCCTTCTCGATCTCCTCCTTGATCAACGTGTTGAAGTAGTCGCGTGAGCGGACAATCCCCGTTTCATCCTGGGTGCTAAGCGCTTCCTCGAATTCCATCTGTGCAACACGCGTTTCAGTCATCGCCACTTCCCCCACGTCACATAAAAGGAGCTTATCATATAAAAGGAGGAAGTAATCTTACATCGCGCCCGAGTTTGGTCAAATCATACCAGCCCGGCATCTGCATGCCAAAATTCTACACCCAGCAATGCAATTCAGCGCTGAACTCCCGAGTCCAAGCTCGTGTAGAGCAGACGCATATACATACCACTGTGATGGGGATGATGGGGGCATTGGGAAACACGAAAGCAACCTCGTCGAATTTCCCTCGACGGCGCCAGTTCTGTGCCAGGAACATCCTGCACTCCACCGTCAATGGCTCGACTCATAACAGGAATAGATCAAGGTCGAAACGTACCAGCCAGAGCCACTATAGAAAAAGGGTCAGATAAATTTGGAGAACAAGTATATTAGACTGACCTGTCGCCCAGCCCGTGGGCCATGATCACCGTCGCAGTGTGCTTCTTGAGCGCGGGAACAATCAGGGGGGCATGGGAAGCCATGTTGATAGATCGCTAATCAGAATAGTCTTCAAAAAGTACTAGTATTTATTGAAAAATGACGGCGATAAACAGGTAGTAAGAACGAGGAAGCAGAAAACAAGTCGATTATAATCCCCGCGCTCCAAACTCACCGCCTTTGAGATATCACAATTTTGCAGGTATTTTGCATTTCACCGTAACACGGATATTGCGCCACGGATATGCGGGTATCCCACCACGGATATACGGCCTACTGATTATTTACTATTATTAATCAATTGTCGACCTCGACGCACCCCGTCTGCCACTCAAAGCCCAATACCAAACATCCATCTCTGCCCGTGATGGCGGTGACCTCGCAGGCATCACTGATATCGTCTGCGCTCTGCGTGAAGACCATTCGCCCGGTCAAGTGTCTCTGTACTTCCGTGGATGAAGACGCTCATGGTGTCGTCGTCGACGATCTCCCTAGGGAGCCACAGGCGATTGGAGATTGGAACTTCACCCCTTCAACTTCGTGAATTCTCGCGGGAGATGGGAGAGCAGCGCGTGGGCGATAATCACCTGTAGTGCAGCGGTGGTGGTCGTGCGGTTCTGCCGACAGGCATTCTTCAATGCGGCCGAGACGGTAGGAGAAAACGCCACGAGGCGTAGTTTCGTCTCGAGCGGGGTCATGATCTTCGCGCCCGTCCAGAGCCCAGCCTCACGCCCAAAGTAGACATACTGCTTGAGCAGGGCCTTGTTGATGAAGGCCATCGACAGGGGCAGGGGCGCCAAGCGCCTCGAGGTTTGGAACCAGCGGCGTTTTCGGTGGAGCGACAAGAGGGCTCGCTTCCTCGACAGGGTCGGAGGATAGAGCGCACAGCGCGCGCAAAAATCCCCGGTGGAACGCTTTGCTAGACGCACCGTCACCTACGACGTGGTGAAAGACAAACGAAGCCGTGAAGTGGCGTGGGTTGTGGGGGTCTGGAAGCACGCAGAGTTCCCAGGGCACATCGACTTCGAGGGGTGTATTATGCTGCTTTTCTTGCAGTTCTTGCAGTTCTTGGTCATGGGATAATCAGTATCATCGAGTCAGCTTGACCGCCCATCTCATATGAAATCTCATGAACACGACGGGTTTCCATCAGCACCACTAGTACTTCGCGTACCTGTGGTGATTGCCAGGCACAAGTTCTTGGATTGTGATATATTTCTCGACTTCTTTCAAGCTTGGACGTACCAGGTACGGCTTTGGAGTGTCATCGTCTCGAAGAATGGCAGAGAGTATGGGAGGTGCTGGTTGATGAGCGCCGTACGGGCTCGGATCAGATCGTGTAGGAGGTCGGCAGAGTGTATGTTGCCATCATCGCAACATTAAGGTAGAATCTCAGCTGGTGACGAGCGTCGAGTAGCGCGTTCCAGATGGCCTAGATTCAATAAGCTTGTGATAAACAGAATGGGGGTTTTAACTACTAGTATCTAATATCAGGGATGAGGGTAAAACGATCTGATCTATACATGTATATTGAGCCTATCTCCTTAGAATAACTACCACTGCTGACACAACACTCCCCGAGCTATGGTCTCTAGAGTCTACCGCATTTGAGGTTTTACAGTTGTATAAGTAAGGATTGGAAAGCAACCAGGTAACTGGGCAATCTGGGAAAGAGAGAGAGAGAGAGAGAGAGAGAGAGAGAAGAGAGACATAGAATCAAGACACAAAGACAAAGGAAATCTAGCATGCAACCCATTTCTTCTCAATGCTTATTCACGCCAGTCTGGGTCCTCCAACTCATCCTTAACCATCGCATCGATGGGCTCCTCCAGCTCATCTGGACCGGGGCCCTCGTTTTCCGCCACCACGGCGGTAGCTTTCATGATCTCGGAGAATCCTTCTTGAGGAAAAAAACCGTCGACCCAGGCCTGGCTGATGACGGGGGTAGTAATCAATAGAACAGGACACCCTTGCAATTGCAAGTCATCATCATCCTCTGGGTACAACGTGTGAGCCTTCAGCGTTTTTGATTCCCATGCAAAGGTTTTATCGACACTATCGAGCCAGTTGTACTTTAAATGCCCACGAGCAGCGTGAATTTTCACCGAACCTTCAGCTGCCATTTGATAAACTTTGATCAGCTCTTGTCGGCGGGCCTGCTTCTCTTTCTCCTGAGACAATGGCTTCAGCAACAATGAGATTAACTCGGTTGCAATGTGCCCATCTTCCATTAGTGGGATCAGAACATCCTTGCGGCGCTGCCTGTGATATTCGCCGAATTTTTGGGAGCGTGCTTGATGGATATCGGTGGAATTGGCCAGACGGATTGTCTCGGACCGCCAAGTTGAAGCGCTGAGGGGATTTGCTGTAGCAGTGGTCATTAAGATAGTCAATATTTTCGGGAACCAAATCGAGCACGTACTTTCCAGATATCTTTCATACAAATGCTGCAGTCGCGCAACCATTTGCGGGTCTCCTTCCTTGTCGTCCGGGCCCATCTTCCCGTCGAAATACCAAAACGGTTTGTCGTATATTTTGTTGACGATGTCTGTCCAAAGCAGTGCTTCGATGAAAACCACCGCCGTCACATGACGATGTATGGACGAGAAACGGCCGACAAGGTCATCCCAATCCTCCAGAAGGCAACAATGCTGGAGGGCTCCGATGATAGAGCGCTTCTGGGTCTTGGAAAGGGAGGATAAGTCCTCAGAAAACCAGTTCCATGCCCAAAATTGGATCAGATATTTGAGACGAGTCAACTCTCCTACGATATCTGGTGTAAAGAAGTCCCATTCCACAATCCCAAGCTCGAAGTACATCTTCCTCGAATGGATTTTTCGGTAGACCTCCTCCAGGTCTTTCTGTTCTTTTGACGGAGCACGAGGACCGGATTGATGTCTATATTTTGACATTCTCGTTTTCTCTTGCGGAGGATTTGCTGTAGGAGGATCGTTCTTTCGAGTACGTTAGAAATAGATAGCTATTTTTTCGAGAGAAGGGGGAAAGATCATCTTACCTCAGATTTCCGTTTCTTCCGGGTGAGCATACTAGAACAGAATCACAGAACAGGAGAAGAGACCAGTATTTATGTCTGCAAGGCAGCAGATGGAGAGCAGAGTAGAAGATAAAATGTCTGGTCCTGCGGGAGACATGTCTCTTTTCTGTGTTTCGGTTTCTTTGTTTCCTTTCCCAAGTTTCTAGGAGACGAGACACAACATCAGGCCAATTGCGTATTCGGTCTGGCCACATCATCGTCCCTTTGTCTAATATTCCATAATTAGTTTCCACCAGTGGTCATTTACCTAGTCATGTGGATCTCAAATATCAAACGCCTGCCTTTGTTTCACGGTACGCAAGGCAGGAGGATGAAAGTAAACAGGTTGGGATGTCAAACCTCCGATATTCCGCGCTCGTCGGGCTTCACCTGTGATTCTTTGGGGGTTGAGATGGTCTGTCTAAGACCACCAAACCTGGGGAGAAACATTCTATCTCGGGAACTCTGAGGCTGGCGACTGAATGAGGTCCAGGTCTCTCATTTTTTGAAGTATCTGAATTCTCTACTAATATAAAAAGGATGGATGGCCTTCCTTTGCTCATTCTATTTGAGGAGTGCATCCCACAGTGCTGTCTATCGAATATCGCTCGACGATCTACCAGTTTGTGCTTACGATTTACCAAAACAAAGCAACATGGACTCTTTCCCAGGTGTTCCAAGGCTCATTGTGGCTGTGGACTATGGTACCACTGGCACCAGTAAGATCATCTTCCCCAGCCATCTCTTTGTATTCTTCCCACTTATCACTTCGAAATCAAAAGGTGTTTCATATGTCCACTGTGGTGGCAATGCCGACAATATCACCACTGTAAGTAAATGGCCGCCTCGTACCAGAGGTGAGAAGGTCCCATCCCGAATTTCATATTCTGAGGGGGGCATTGTGCCGCCTCTCTGGGGGTTTGAGGTCACTCCGGATGCCGAAGCCTTCGTATGGACCAAGCTACTGTTGGATCAGAATCTCCAGCACGGAGATTTCAACGATGAGATCCTGGAGAAAGTTGTTGGCTTTGAGATCATGAAATTACCTGCTGGGAGGGATGCCGTGACCACAATTGCAGACTTTCTTGCTCAGCTCTACAAGTACGTCTCGAAAATCACTTCGCAGTATTGGACACCAAGCACAAAGGCTTCCCAGAGTCCGGTGGAATTTTGGTTCACAATGCCAGCCAGCTGGCCTGAGGCGGTCCAGAGTCTCATGCAGGATGCAATATAACTATCGGGCAGGATTTGGGTCCGACCATTTTTTGCATCGGGTCAATATCATGAGTGAGCCTGAGGCGGCCGCCCTGTCAATAGTTCATGAAACAGAGTTGAACTTGCAGGTCAGTCTGTCCTTTTTTCCCTCTTATTCTGCTTGGGGTTTTTCCTAACCACATCTATGAACTGGTTAGTGTGGTGATGGTGTTTTGGTCTGTGACTGTGGTGGAGGTACAGTCGTGAGTTACTACCCAGTAAGATGATAAAACTAGTATACCTGGTTAGCTTATGTTTGAAACTAGGACATTACAACACTATATATCACTGAAATTGATCCGATCCCTTGTTTTGATCAGATCACCACAGTTACAGGTGGTCGATGTGGCGGGGCCGCCATTGATGCGAGACTTTACCAACTGCTCGCCTACAAGTACATGGGGGCCTGTGATGAATTTCTCCCCAGATTATTTAGGCCAGGAAGCCAGTTCATGAATGCCTTCCAGCAAATCAAGCAAGATTTTGATGGCACTGGAGACAAGTCATGGAAAATTCCTGTGGAATGTTTCAAGACAGAAATCATTCCCTTCAGTCAGAAAGCACCCTCCGTCCTCGTCCTTGACTCACGAGATCTCTGCGATCTCTATGACCCCGTTCTGAGCCGGATCTTCGCCTTAATCATGACACAGATCACGGCGGCTAACACTCACTGTAGACGCAATATCATCAATGTCAGTACCGTTGTCTACGTCGCTAAACGAGGGAGTGCGTTGCTAATGATCATTAACAGAAGGTGGTATTTGTTGGCGGTTTCAGCGAGTCACCTTACCTCCAGAATAAAATGAGGGCTTGTCTACAGCAAATGGACAATATCACCATGCTCACTACACAGTATCCGTAAGGTTTGATTGAATCCCCGTGTGAGATAGATCTATAGGAGCAGACCATGGCTAACTAACCCATCTTCCAGGAAGACAGCGGTTTCCAGAGGAGCCGCTCTTCGAGCCTGTCTCGGACGTCTCCCGCCCACTTACAAGTGTTGGAGACATTATGGTCTGGGATCAACTGAGTCATCCCTTTCTAGTTCTGAACAAAACACGGCTGTCCCGTTTTCATTCAAACCATCTCTGTACTGGGTGTTGAAAAGGGCAAGTGTTGAAGATCGCGGGCCTTAATTACCAATCTAGAGCACCAGGCTAACAGGTGATATTTGATTGATGAACAGGGCGAAAGATATCCCACACACTATCAGGCATACCAAAACGTCCGACTGTTTCATTGGCAGCATGAATCGCCCATAAAGCCTATTGAGATCTACGAATGCACGCTCGTCACCCCACCCTGCCAATTGGACCCGCACCGTAAGATATCCCGCCTGGCTTTGAGAGATATATACTCTTAGTTCAGATCTTGGATGGCTTGCTAACGTCAAATGAACTAGATACCCCCGAGGGCATGGCCTGCATTGACTTGATCGCCTGTGACTTTTGTAACGTGGACCTGAGTCGATTCCCCCATCAGATCATGGCCGGAAGGATGATGTACGAGCTCGAAATTGCGATTCAGGTCTCTCTTACGGACCACACGATTCAGTTTTGCGCCTATGCACTCGGTCAGGAGATTGGGCGCAAGGAGGTCTTGATGGCGAATCACTGATTAGTCTTTACAAACTACCTGGTTACGTACCAATGTGCGACAATTTAGATATGGTCTTTTGGAGTTAATGGAGTTTGTCTAAATATTAAAAGTACTTTATAGAGGGCGAGACTATTCTTCTCGACACCGTCTATTGTCTAGTAGATGAGAATCCAAGTACAGAATTCTTCCACAGGTAGTGAATCCACCTGTATATTAGGTAATGGATGTCGATATTATAAATGAAGTTTTTGAGAAGAAACCGATCATTCAAGCAAAGTATATAAGAACCCAAGGCAAGCCACATCTCAATATCTCGCCCACTGGATTGACCTCCCATACGTCAACTCCCCCAAGAAGAGACCTGTTATGACAGAACAGAAATATCCTACATTCATCGTCATGACGGCTATAATGCTATAAAATATCAGTATTGACTATGTCAAGGGGGGTAAATTAGGGAAAGGAGGGCAAGGAGGTACAGTAGATATGAGCAAGTAGCAATCAAGGCAAAAAGAAGAGCGCGAGGCACATCCCAGATCAACCGCCAGGGAGGCGCCATGACCCCGGTACTAGTCTGCTGATTTCCCGGGCCTCTTTCAAGATCAAAAGGGATGGTTTTGTTCTTTTTTTCTTTGGTATCTGACGTCTCATCATCGGCGGCGGCGCGTTGACGATCAAGATGTTTGGTACGAAACCTCTGCTCCATCACGGCCCTGAATGCAACGAGTGCCCTTGTGATGAAGGCGAATCCGATGAGGAACGAACATATGAGAAAGTAAGTCCCGTCGCTGAATGGAGTCCATCCGGCCAGGTAGAGGGTGGTTCTTTTATCGTTTCGGAAGAACATCGGCGTGGAGGAAGATGTAGTGTTCATTTTATCGAATTAACAGAAGACGTTGATCTCAGGTTGCAATAGATGTATGATGTTGAGTGATGGAGATTGTCATAGCCATAGCCATAGCCATAGCCATGGTCATATCCATGGTCATAGGCATCAGGCATCAAGACCTGCGGCCTCTCATTATCGGTAGGTTCCATAAATCAATCACCGGTGCCTGGGATTGACATCATTACTGTCAGGCATCTCTCTCTCTCTCTCTCCTTGAGCCGAGATTGATGTCAGTCAAGGCGATCGGGTAATAGGTACGTCCCTAAGGCTGCAAGGCTGCAAGGCTGCAAGGCATATAATCATGTGACTGTCCAAAAGAGCTAGCTTCCGTGACGTAATGCCTGCCTGCCTCATTCCAACAAACTCAAGTCATTCCAACTTCTTCATCAACAAGACATCAACAAGGAGAGGAACCGAACCAGGTAGTTATCAATCCCTAAAACACCGTCAAGATGGTATTCCGATTTGTGAGTCCCTCAATTCAATGCAATGCAAAGGATATCTATAAGAGGAAGGGAGCAATTGACTGAACGAATTGTGACAGCCCAAAACCCTCGACCCGATCACCCTCTTCCACTCGCCGGCCGTCCCGGCGTCGAAGCGCGTGCTGACCCTCCTCAAACAAGCGTCCGCGACAGCCTCGGAGACCGCAACAGAGGACCAAGCCTCCGACACGAACATCCACGCCGCGAAGCAGCGCGGCGAGTTCCAGCTGCAGGTCTCCACGGAGGCGCCCACTACGGACCAGGTGCGGAGTATCCTTGAGTTTGTCGCGGATGCGCAGGCCGCCGGTCGGACGTCGTATGCTGCCGGGGAGGTTGTTGCGGGGGCGAGAGATGCTGCGGATGCCCTTCGCAAGTTCAAGGAGGACCAGTCCAAGTTCGCGCGGCCGATTGTATGTCTTCCTTCACTACGCACCCTATCTTCTTCTTTACGAGACTTTGATTCTAACGTTTCAGACCGTCGATTGGACCAATGGACGCGCCGTCGTCGGTGATAACGAGTCGGAGATTCTCAAGATGGTCAGACAGGCCGAGTGATTGTACATAGAACATATTTATCAAAGTCCATTGGATTCTTGGATTCTTGCCCAGCGGATGGGTCTCTATCATACAACGCCAGGAAAACCAGGGGGAAACCCTTGCCGAGTACCAGTAACATATTATCTCCAGCAAGCAAAATAGAACTGCACCCGCTCACATTAAAAAAGGAAAGGAAAGGAAAGGGAATAAAAATCATTTTGGGATAAGAAAAAAACAAGAGGAAGAATGAAACCCATGATATCCCCGGGCCAGGCCATTCAATCTCAGCCAATGAAACTCACGTATAGACGAATCGAGTACCAGCTCGCCGTATCGAATAATAGAGAATGAAGTGAAAAAAAAAAAATAAAGAAGAGAAGATAATTCAGAACATCGTGCCGAATGATCCATCAGTTGGGATCGCCTTGCGGGGCGAGCTGCGAGCGCCAGATCCATCTGGTTTGCGATGACTGGGTACGTTAGAAAAGAGTAAAAAAAAGAACGAGGCAGGGAGGGTGGGGGAGAAAAACGTACCGAAAAGTAAAGCCGACAAACAAGCCCTTGCTCATCTTGTCCTCGCGGTCGGCCATCTCTTCCAGTGCGCGTTGCTTGTCGTGCACCTCCTTGTACTTGGCCATGTCGGCTTCGTTGGTGAAATCGTCAAAGTAGCCGGCGTCGGTCTCGGAATCGAGCTCGGGCACGAAGGGGGCACGCTGCTCACGGAGATTGGCAAAGTCGACTTCGGCAAAGTACTCGTGCTCGTGGATCTCGCGGATGTTCTTGAACCGCTGCTCCTTGGCCGCCACCAGACGCGTGATGAGATCCCACGTCCGGCGTGAGAGGAAGTAGTTGGGGTCTTCGTACACGGGTTTGCGCAGCACCTTCTGCCAACGCTTCAGGTTCTGCCATGTCTCGTCGACGGTGGCGCCGGCAAAGGGCGGGTACCCGGCAAGGGCTTCGAAGAGCATGCACCCCAGACTCCAGTAGTCGACGGTGAAATCATACTCCTCCCCCTTGAGCACTTCCGGCGCCATGTAGTCGGGTGAGCCGACGATGGATTTGGCGTAGTTGACCTCGCGCTTACGGAGCGACTGGTAGCCTTCCCGGCGCTCAGCCATGGTCCGCTGCTCCATCGGCCGGCCAAAGGGAACAGGGGTGTTGCCCACTTCCTCCAGCTTGACACGCATCGACTCGATCTTGACCGGGTTCAGCATGCCGGCGGCCAGACCAAAGTCGGTCAGCTTGACGTGGCCCGTGGAATCGATCAGGAAGTTCTCGGGCTTCAGATCACGGTGGATGTAACCGAGCATGTGGAGGGCATCGACGCAGGAGAACATTTCTCCGATGTAGAAGCGGGCGTGGCGGTTGTGCAGGACGCCGGTATTGTTCAGCAGGGTGCGAAAATCGCCTCCAGGCACGTACTCCATGGCTAGGTAGATCTGACTCTCGTCCTGGAAAGCGTAGAGCAGCTTCACCAGCCATTCACTCTTGGCTGCCGTCAAGATGTCGCGCTCCGTCAGAATGTGGCGGATCTCGTCCAGCTTGAACAGCAGTTTCTTGCTCATGACCTTGAGCGCGCAGACCTCGCGCGTGTCCTTCTTCTGCGCCAGATACACCTGTCCATAGCCTCCCTGGCCCACCTGAGTCAGGATCTGGAAATCATGCTGGCGGAGACGAGTGCGTCTTTTGCGCAGGTTGGCCCGCTCGCGACCGAGATACTTGAGCAAGGCCGGTTCGTACTCGTCCATCGGAGTGGCGGGGGGGTCTGGGTATGCGGCGCGGAACTGTGAGTGGCGGGTCTGACGGTTATGGACATAGCTGAGAAGATCAAAATAGTGATCAAGGAAATCTAAACGGTCAGCGCCCTTTCTCTCTCGAGGATTGCGAGTATGAAGGGTCCAAGGAACTTACAAAGCTGAGTGACATTCACCAGGCGCTTGACCCGCGGCTGTTGCAGTTTCTCCATCTCCTCTGGGGTCAGGCCTCGAAGCTGCACCTGTCTCCGCTGCACGGTGTCCGGATCCTTGGCCTGATACGGCTCCTGGCGCGAGATGGCCGCCGCATTGGTCTTGAGCCCCAGATCCTTGCCCAGCCGAGTCGGGCTCGGAGGCCTATTCTCCTTGTTGCCCTGGCGGGTAGGACTGACCGGCCGCTGGTGGATAACGCTTTCATTGAACTCGCCGCTCTTAGGGGTGCCAAACATGGGGTGCTGGTAGGCGGCATTGTTGGGCGTCGACGGGGTCAACTTCAGCGCTTTCTCAAAGACGTTCGGCAGGTCAATGGACCCCGGCGGATAACGGTTCTTGCTGGGGCTGCCCTGAGGCGTCTGGACAGGACTGGTGAAACCATTCTCAGCAGGCGTCGACGGACGATCGAAGGGTTCGTGACTCGACCGAGTGTGTAACAGCGGTGGAGGGTTGGGCAGACGCAGCCCATGGCGCTCGGCCGTCTCAGCCGTGACATCAACGGTCATCATGGCGGGCTTCGTCAAGAATATAGAGATCTCCTCTCCTTTTTCCTATCCCTCTTGTCTTTCTCTCTTTCTCTCTTTATGGCTCGTCTATTTTTTGTGAGGCGATGGGGAAAAGAAAAGTCGGTCTGTTGACGTGGCGGAGGGAAACGCAGCACCCCTTGATAACAACAGACAGACCGACCTAATTTCGCTGGCAACGCAAGGCACGCAGGGCTCGGGGAATAAATCCAAGAGCAAAAGCTGCAGATCATAAAATGGAGAAAAGAAAACAACCGACACAAAACAAAAAGGGAGAGCGAGACACGATGGAGAGAGAAAAAAGAAACCCTGCAGACTCCGACAAGCGCCCGATGAGGGGAGGGAAGGTGACGATCTGGTCCCTCACAGCCAGCCACCGCCCTGGACCAACGACCTCCTCCTCTTCTTCCTCTCACTTGCTCTCAGTCGCTCCCAGTCGTTCCCAGTCTCTTTCCCGTCCCCACGCCAGGCCCAAGTGCCGCCCAGTTGCCCCTCGCCCTGTGTCGGTTGCTGTGACAACGCCGGCCTCCAGACGCCCCCTCCCCCCGGCCCTGTTTGGGACTCGAGCTCGAGACGTCATAAGGCTGATTTGCTGGAAAAATGCAGCGAGCTCGTGAAGCTTATCGGAGACCAGGTGCTCCGTCCAGGTCTGATTGGAGTGCCAGGTTATTCCGATGGATCTTGAGAGAGAGAGAGAGGCTGAGTAGTAGGTCCTCTTTACCAAGGAAATCCCCCCCCCCCACCCCGAGGGCTCCAAGAGGCTCCTCCGGCCATCCTGCAGGTCATCTCGCTAACTGTGTCTCCTGTAGGACTTGGTTTTAAACTTCCTCTTACAAAGTAAGCCATCGGTCACTCCGGGATGATGGCTGGGCCGAATCGGGAATATGCTACGGTCGATTCTCACGCCAGGATCTGTGCGATCTCGCGAACTAGTCTGTGCGATGGCGCTGTCGGGTCCGATTCAGCTGGTCTACTCCGTATCTACGGGGTGCTACCCTAGTCCGGTGGAAATTAAGGAGCAGCTAATCAGAGTGCTTGATACAGAGGTTCAAGGATGATGGAGTACGACATAATCTTCCCGATGATGTCCTACATTACGACTACAGACTCATATTTGGAATTGGGAGGGCAACACCAACAGCAGTAAGTGCGACCGGCTAATGTCCTGATTGGACAGACTGCCAGGTCTGTTTGCTCTCAGCCAGGTTCTATAAGGAACTATTGATCGGGGAAACCTGTTATGAGAAAGCCTTTGTCCGGGCGGCATGTTTTTTATTATTCTTGTTGTTGTGGCAGGAACAGGCAAGTACAAATCAAACAACCGCTTTGGGTTAGTCTGGCGCTTATCCTATCTGGCTGATGAGTAATCCATTTAGATACGACGGTCTATTTTTAGCCTCTACTCGTTGCTCTACTCCATACCGACTCCTGGAAGAATCTTCTTCAGAAAGAAATATCATATTTCATTGTTCTCTATTGATTTAAGCAGCACCCTGCTTGCGTTGGCCCGTCTGGATTTTCCGTCAGCATACTACTCACCAGGAGGGAGTCTAATCCGCCGTGACTTACATAGAAAGCGAGCCCGTACGAAGGCGTGGTGAAGGTAATCTTGGCCCCCGCGGGGAAGTAGAAGACATCTCCCGGCTTCGCAGTGACCTTCTGCCCCGTCTCATCGGAGATCTCAAACTCTCCCTCCAGGATGATCTTCATCTCGTCGTACGTGTAAGTGTAGACGAGGGGGGTGCCCTTTTCCAGCCGATAGAAGCCGGCGGAGATGGGCTTCTCGGGCGAGTCTTTTTCACTATACACAGTCAGAAAGAGTACAGGCAGAAAAGGAAGACGACTCTTCTTTTTTCTTCATTATTTGGTACTCCATACCTCGAGTCTACATCGCCCAGGAAGGCGTTCTCGTTTGCAATCAGAGGCGGCTTGTACGTCGACTGAGCAGCCTGGTGATAACGGAATGCGAAAGCCATGGTGAGCACAGTGGGATGGAAAATTAACAGGGAAGAAAAAACGACGAGAGGCACAGATTGTTCTTGTTCTTGTTCTATGATACTCTCTCTCTCTCTCTCAACCAACTGCCAGCCGTCTCTTCAAATACTCTCCCCTCCTTCCCTTGCTCTCTACCCTGCTCTTCCTATCTTGCCCATTCTTTCCGTGCCCATTACGCTCGGATCCCATGCCTGGAATAAGGAGAAGGATGAGAAGAACGAGGTTGAGGGTCTCTGGGTCGGATATCGAGAGCTCGAGCGAGCGAGGATTTCTTTTCCTGAATGGGTTTAGTTTCGACCCGCTACCACATACCCAGATTGATATCAAACTGATAGAAGCCGGATATTATTGATTAGGGAGGAGATTAATACTCGTTATCTATGGGCAGTATCAATAGTGGCAATATAGAGGGATCTGTTCTATAGGAACCACTCTCTGAGCCATTTCTACCCCGCATCCTCCTCTTCCTCCTCTCCTCCCCCTCCCCCTCCTCACTATCAAATCGAGACCAGACAAGATATTGATGACTTTGTTCTAGACTTCCACTTTACTCTTCTCCCAAGAGCCACACCACGACCGCAGATCGACGCGTCAATCCAGGGACATCGGGTACCCAACAAGGTAGTATCCTCCTGGGCCGAAGATTCCCAACAGATTAACAAGTATAAAGATCTACCACACTACGTCTCTTCTTACTTACCTTATATACCTTACCTACCTACTTCGCCTTTATATCTCACCTACTATCTTTCATACCTATATCGGAACTAAGAATCCTATAGCAGCCTCCATGCCCATCTCTGTCATCATCGTGCCCGCACAGAGACCGTATAACTTCCAGGGCGGGACCGAGGAGTGACAGTGACACACCTACAGCAGAACATACTGATACTCAACCCATATTCAGTCAGCAGTCCGCTATATTATGAAATAAAACAAAAGCCATTGCACCAATTTTCCAAGACGTTATCCGATTGCGCCGTCTTCATAAATACGAACAAAAAAATCATAGCTGACACAACACATACACCGTTCAGGTCCAGCTCCCAACCAATCCATTCATTAAAACCAAATAAAAAGTCCCATGGGAAACACCTCGCTGATCGATGATACAGTAGTAGAATTTCTGGGAACCAAAAAAAAAGGAGAAGATCAAAAGAAAAGGACCCTATTTAAAGCTGTAAAGAAAGAAACAACGACGACGCAATGCCCGACGCAACAATGGCCACTGTAGCCATCACCCACGACTTGAAACCATACCTCGCCTCGCTGCGGTCCTATCTCGCCAGAGGAGAAAGTGCCAATCCACCGTCTGCGCAAGAGACGAGGGGGGAAGACCCTGGACCTGGTCCGGGTCCGGAGATCTGGAGGCCGTTGGATGCGAGTCGGAGCGGGCGGGACCATGTCCAACCACGCAGAGGGTTGAGATGAGGCAAATCGAATCTGAACGGGGGTTACGCTTTTTACTTTCATCCTAAAAACACTGTTGGATGTTAGAGAGAGAGAGAGAGAAAGAAAAGAAGAAAAAAAAAAAGGGGGGGATATACCCTCCCATCCCCATTCTTCCATCACCTTGACCCAATGAAGGTGTCCGCGGACAGTCCTGGTAAATTCTATATTCTCCAAAGGCGAAAGAGCCGTAGACCGTTTCTCTCGGTTGTCGGCGGATGCCCGTCGTCTTCGCCTCGACCCAGTAGCCCGCGGGTAGACCGAAGATGTACGCGACATTGCTTCCTCTGCTTCCTTTTCTTCTTCTTCTTCTTCTTCTTCTTCCCGGCACGCATCGCGCCGTGCCCAAACCTCCATCGTAACATCAAGACAACGATCCACGCCTCCGAGCATCAGCCGCGACTGGATGGTCGTCCACCGGTCGATCACCCACCGGCGGTCCTCGGCCTGCTCTGCCTCACACCCTGCCGCCAGGAGGGGAAACATATGGATGATTGTCGTGCGTGAGCTGGCCGGCACCGTCGCCAGCAGGAGGAGCACGCGTTTCGCCAGGTCGGCGGCCGGCTCCGAGGGGATCTCCGGCACCGCCTGATGCAGGTACAGCAGTGTCGCCCACCGGTACGCATGCGCGGTTTGTAGGCTGTGCTGGACTTCCGATGTAGGATCCTCGGGCGGCTCAAAACGGGCGGGGGGGTCCCATCGCTCCAGCTGGGCCTTGAGCTCGATCGCCTGCGACACCAGCGCCAGCGAGTTGGACTCGCTCTGCCGCACGCGCTGGATCAGCTTCGTCACCCGGTAGATGAGCGGGAAGAGCGTCGAGGCGCTGCCCATCAGCGGGTCGATCTCATGCACCCTGTTGTCGTCGCCGGGAGTAGCCTGCTGCAAGGCCACCGACAAGTCCATCTCCGATTGATCTCCGCCGCCGCCGCCATCGAGCGCGGTCAGCCGTGCAATTACATCCATGTACAGCCAGGTGTTGTAGAGGAATTGCACCCGCTCAAGGTCGTCGCCGCGCAAGCCCGTGCGGATCCCGCACTGAAGAGCCTGCGAGACTAGAGCTTTGGCGCCGCGCAGGTGTTGAATACATGTTCGCGTGTGCGTGTCCCAGGTATCTGCAAACGCGAGCGCCAGGCTGGTCGCCAGCGCGGCGTCAGTCCGCATGTTCTGGATCCCCTGGACCATGCAGGCGATGCTCTGCCGCATGTGGTCCACGCCGTGGACCCGAAGCGCGGGTTCTTCCTTGCTGGAGTGGAACGCGGCCAGGGCGTAGATCGCGTGGCATAGGGCGGGTGTGTCTTTGGCCAACGGCCAGATCAACGTTCGCCAGGGATTCTCGGTCTCCCCGTCCTTGACGGAAAGAATGCCGCACGTTAACCGGTCAAAGCGCATGATGAGCATTTCAGGGCTCGAAGGCTCCAGCTCCGGTTCCCGTAAAAGATCCGAGAAGTAATTGGAGGGAGGTTTGGGCTGCTTCTTCTCGAAGATATGAGGAAACCACGGGTCATAGCTTGAATCCGCCTGTCGGATGATATCCTCAACTTCATCGCCATCTCCTTCCAGGAGGTCAGAGAAACTGAACGTGTCCGACTTGGGAGAGAATCCAAAAACGCCTTGACTGACATCAACTGGGATAAGAATGTCTGCTGCTGCTGCTGCTGCTGCTGCAGGTGGAGGAGGCGTGAAATCAGAAAGCCAGGACGATTGATCTGTCAGCGGTGTATCCTCCGGTGGTGAATAGAATGCCTGGGGCTCGTTGATGTTGAGAGCCATTCTATCACCGAGGCATACTGTTGCAGACTCTATCAATGAAGAACCAGTTCCCATTTCGTCGTTCAAACCTAGGATTCCAAGAGGGCTAGTCATCAAAGAGTGAGATGGCTGTGCGGTGATTGCATCTCCATCCGCCTTCTGTGTAGTCGAGCGTTTCACCAGTCGAGGCGGAACTGCCGCCTTTGCCTTGACAGATACTGGTGAAAGCGGACTGGGCACTGCAAAAGATCAATATAAAGAGATATAGAAATGGATAGAAACTACATACCTTTCTTTATCTTGGTCGGCGCAGTCGCCTTGGCCGCCATATTACCCTCCTCGAAGGGACGCCATTTGAAGTCCTTCTTGTATCCTCCGCATGGTACATTTCGCTTTTTACAATGGAGGCACGTCGGCTTGGTTTCATCGCACTTGAGCCGCTTTGCCTTACAGGTGATGCAGCCTGGGAGACCAGGAAAAAGGGAAGAAAGAAACGGTCAGCGCACGGTATACTCAACAGTCCATCCATTATTGCTTAAAAAGCATCATAGACTCCCCCCATTCCTCTCTCCTCTTCCTTCATTTTTGGGGGGGGGCTTTTTAAAAAAAAATATATATATATATTGAGACTGAGAGACACCATCATACCATTACGGCTCTTGGACTGTTTTAGCCTGTTCGAGTTCGTGCTGGCAGCCTTCTTGTTAGGGCTTGATGGGGGAAGAAGACGAGAAGCAGGAGGGTCTGGGGGATCTAGAATGGCGGACGGCGACGGGATTTTGATGGTTTCCATGCCCAGATGTGGAGAAATAGCATAAGATCATCCACAGGAAATAGCGACATTCACAAAAGTAGGCAAGGGAACACCCACGGTGAGCCGGAACCAGATGAGGGCCAAATAAGGACGAGATGGACAAGGGACGAACGGTCCGAGAGTTGTGTGCAGAGCGGACAACAAATAATAGAAGATAAGCCGCCTGAAGGTCTTCCCCTCTCCTCTCCTCCAACCACCCCGGTCGTATCTGTGACACAGCTCCGCAGGACAGATAGGAAGTTTCGGGGGCGTATAGATAAGTGAGCAACGTGAGCAGTGCCTAACTGTGACTGACTAACGAACGGTGAGGAGAAGGAGGCGAGATCAGAATGATAAAGAAGACCCAGCCAGACTGCGGGGATGCGAAATCCACGCAGGTCCAATGGGCGACACAAGGTTTTGCCGATCAAATCACATCCATGCGAGTGGCCCCGGCGGATCAGCGTTGTTGTTTATCTTTGGAGACTTCGATGAGCTATCTGTCTCGGTTTGTCTCCAGCATGTGCGGTCTTGTCGAGCCGTGGATGGATGAGGGCGGTGTTATTTGTGTGCGCTTTCGAGTCCAATTGACTGACGGGTTTGCCACATATTCGCCCTTGGAGAAGATCAACGATTCTCCAACACCCGGGATGGGTTCTAGCCCCAATATGAAAATGACGACCCTATCGCATCTGGGTCATCTCCCACCTTGCATGGCGTGTCTGTGCAAGGTTGGTTCGTCACCGCCCATCGGGGAAGCAGCTTCCTGCAGTGGTTGTGCGTCTTGGATAACTACCTGTTATTGCCACGCGCCAGCAGATTGTGCGGTTTATGAGAAAGTACCGAACGGCTAAGTGGTTAGTGGCCGGTACTCCGTACTAGCCGAATCATTATAGTTATTATTTCCATTCGGAATGGAGAGATAGGTCGTCAAGGACTGATTCACCAAGTGGGTGTCTTCCATCTAGTTTCTAGTCAGAGGCTGTCACCCAACTTAGCTCCAGCCATCCGAATCGTTTGCTAATAAGATTCTCGATGACTCGGATGATTGGTTAATCGGGATTCATGGGTTGTGGATAAGTCGTTGATGGCCACGGATGGGTTTCTGCGTTGTCGGATGTGACTGACAAGGAGCCTGGGCCTTCTGGCTGCAGACATCATCACAGCCCTCTTTTCTGTTTCGGATGCGAAGAAACAAACCAATCAATATCAAATAACAACCGTCTCATTTCACTAGAGAGTCCAAACAAATGGTCAGGTAGGGGGAGGGGGGAAATGGTTGGACACCACCTCACGTCGAAATTCTCCGAGTCATTGCATTCTCCTCCACACCGACGACGAGACTCGATGACACAGAGAAACAACAAATGGGCCATGTGACTTTTATTAATTCTTTCTTTTTATTCCCCGTGATCATCTCTTGTTCCCGAAAAAACAAAGGGAACCAGTCATGTACTCGACTTCGCCGCCACGCAGGCCTGTTTGTGAAACATCCAGTCTGCCTTCTGACACTGCGCCGAGCAGTAATATTTCTTCTGGCACCGACTACACCTCAGCAGGTTCTTGCCCGTTTCCGATTTTGTTTTCTTACACAGGCCACATTGGTCAGCTGGGAGCACTCTTTGTCGTGGCGGGGAGAGGAAATCGGCGTCGCTGTCTGAGAAGCGGGACGAGAAGACCGGCGAGATGGCCGCGCGGACAAGATACTTTCTCGCCTTGTTCATGCCTGGGATGTCATCAAGTCCGTAGTCCAAGGGGAGCGAGTGCGATCCACAGGAGCACAGGACGGGCTGGGCGCTCTCCAGCGAGACCGGTACTTTGCCGCCCCTTCGATACTCACAGGTAGAGCGGTGTTCCCAGGTCCGGCATCGCTCTACCCAGGCAGGAAGCAGGGTCTTCCACAGCTTGAGCTCGTCTGCGGTGGCTTTGCTGCAGAGCATCCCCCTTTCCATCAAGCAGGCCAGAAACTCTTTGATTTCTGGTATCAGGACGAGAGTCAGAGGCAGGACGGCCGCGTCGATGACTACGCTGCGATTGCTGGTGTCGAACAACAATGCTCTCGGGAGAATGATGAGATGAATCCCTCCATCTTGTGGGTTATTAATGGCGAAAAGGTTCGATTTCTGCCCCTGCACGCCTGCAAATCCCGCAAAGAGGGTGAAGAGCGAATCTTTCAAATCGCACAGAGTGTCGGTTGGGATGAGCCCGTTCTTCATAGGACGCTCCTTGGAGGTAAACATGCCACCTACGTGGACATTGAGCCACTGGATCTCGCTGGGCTTTCTCACATCAATCTCTGGAAGCTGGTCGAGGTCTACTCGAGGCATGTTGAGGTAGGTAAGATCGTCCCCGTAAGTAGTGAACGGGTACATCAAACCGGCTTGATATCTGCCTGGCTCCACCAGCGGCGCAATGATCTCGATCCAAGCTGAAGTTCGAGCAACCCGAGCTTTGGTCTTGTTCCCATCGATCGGAACCGGGTACGCGAGTCGATACGAATCGCTGCCTTTCAGCTTGACGTCCACGATGTTTGGCACCTGGAAGACCGTCTCAACTGCACAGCCGGCTTTGAGTATCGAACGGGGCTTCTCAGAAATGAAGCTCACTTTGCCGGTCACGGTCTGAACACGATCTGAATCCGGCTGTAGCTTTATAGTAAACTGTCTTCCAAAGCCCTCGTTCTCTTCTTGCCCGGAATTTGACGCTTCCTGCAAAATTGACGGGTATCCCGATGTATTCGGGAGATATTTGCTGATATACACACTGCTTTTGCTCTGGAGGTCCGTAGAGAATATCTCCAGAGTTGGCCCCAGAGTTACCCGCAAAATTGGCCCGATTTCAGATGTCTCCTGGACAACGAGTGCAACCTGCATGCTCTCAAAGCCATCATAAATCAGGGACGCAGGTGCGTAAAAGGAAGCGAAGAGTGGACACTTTCCTGCGAACCTCTTGTCGTCATTGGCGATGTTCAGATGGAATTCTGGCTCGTTTCGCTCGCCTGAGGTGGAGACGTGGCCGATGGCGAGCTGGACAGAGCCAAAAAGATGCACAATCCCGTCCACTGGGGATTCCCGCGTTTCCTTCAGCTTACACTGCAGAACAGGCAGTCCAAGCGTCTCCGCTTGGATGTTCAGAATAGCCCTCAAGGCGGATCTAGGTACTTCTAGCGTAACTGCCACCAGGGCAGGTATTGGATCCCAGGAGCGGAAATCCAATGCTGTTTTCATGACAACTCGAGATTCACAGGGGATTAGAGACCTGCTATATGAGAGATGAAGCTGGGTGAAAAGATCGAACTGGTGTTCGAGTGCTGTGCGAGTGTTCGAACTATCAATCAGGCTTTTCAGGAGGATCCCCTTTACTTTATCCCAATCAGTCATTTGATTTAGTTTGATATGGCGGAGCAGAAGGGCAAAGCTTCCCCGGTGATAAAGAGTACGCTTGCTTGTGTATGCGGCTGGTCTATCTGATTTCGTTAGCACGTGGGCCAAGTCTTCGAATTCAAACATTTTGAGATAGACATGGTGAAGGGTGCGAGCGAGCTCCTCTTCGTTCCAATGTAATGGTGCAGAAGAAAGTGAAAACATCGAATTTCGCCACATGACTCGGTGATGCTCTTGTCTCTGTGAGCCGGCGGGTCCGGCTTGCTGAAATGACATGGAGAGAAGACTCTCTTCAGAGCTCGGAATCGCAGTTGCATTCGACCAGAATTCAACAGGATACAGGCCCAGCAAAAGGGTCATTGTTGATAGAGGCCCACAGAGGAGGCTCTCAGACAGCGCTTTGGTGGGTTTAGCTTGACGCAGAAGAAACTCTGTGTAGAGGGCAGAGTTGGGTCCATGAAGGAGAGGTGCGGCAGCAGTCAGGAAATTGATCACTCCGAAGTGGTCTGCGAGATTGGACGTGTCGATGACATCAAAACAGCGGGGGCCAGGGCCAGTATCGCAATAATCCTCCTCGTTCATGGATATGGCCTCCGAAATATATTGACCGCGGAATATACCCGTGTTCAAGGATTGCCCGTCTGAGGATCTGCTTTGTAGCGCGTGGCAGAATGCAAGCGCATCCCCAACGAAGAACCGCAGAATGCAGGTTTTGGAGGCATTCTTGAACGACAGGCACCATTCAGAGAACTCCAGCCTGGCAGCCCTGACAGCCTTATGGAGATTCGAGTCTTTAGAAGAAGAAGAAGAAGAAGAAGAAGAAGTTGAAAAGGGAGATCCCTTGGTGATCGGGCAGTAGCCCAAAGCTAGATGGAAGCCCAGAAGAGGATCCGTCCCGTAATGCAAATCAGCCAGCTTTCCCGACGGGGATGTAAACAATGGGTTTGGCAATGCAGCCTGCGAATATTGTCGGTGGTCCTCGGTTGCATTAGTGGTACCCTTTTCCCAGTAGAACTTATAGAGCTTCGCGATATCAAGCAGCTCTAGCATCGCTGCAGGGGCAAGAGATCTGGGTCCTGTAATGACTTGGCCTTCCTTGCCGACAAACAGCTTTTTCCGCTCTCTAGCCAGACGTAGTTCGGCAAGAAATCGTTGGTTACGCTCCTGTCGTTCTTGTTCAGTCATCTGTAAGACACGATAAGAACCCCAGACGTTCCTAATCATCGAGAGGGAGGAGCGGTCACAAAATTTAAACAGCGCCGCGTATTTACTTTCCTGCCACTTCTCCCACGAGGCAGATGCCGCATAGAGACGACAGGCTTGTTTATCGAGGGCCTCGAGGGATTTTTCCTCCAGGAAGATGTGGTAGTAAACGCTCCAGAGCGTGTCAGGGTCCGTTTGAGTCTCATCCTCGACCAACAGCGACAGGAGGAGGATATTTCGAGCTGGGAAAATACGGATATGAATCAGCAGAGATTCCACAGGCCTTACCACCGCTCAATGCATTTACCCACCTAATGTAGCAGGTTCGATATCACAGCACGTAATGTCCAAAGATCTCGACGCTGGGACAAGAACTCAAGGTTAACCAACCTCATATCCAAGTAGGCCTTCCACCCATTCAAGGAATACCATTCATATAGGCCGTGAAGAGCACGTTTCGAACGTCGCCACAGCCTAGAAGGAGCAAATCTGCCTTCTTGGTCGACGGAATATGCTGGGTCAAGTTGACAGCGGGGGTGTTTCCCACGGGGTAGAAGAAGCTCAGACGGCTGAGCACGGCCGGATAAAACATCATTCTGGTCGGTTGAATGGCTGACTCAAAGGTTCTATACAAGACTGACAGGACACCCGTCGTCCGCAAGGAATTGACAAGAAAAACAGAAAAGATCCCCTGGAGGATGCGAGTGTTGATGGCGGGAGAAAGCGGTGAGGGGTTTCGCTTGTCCTGGCATAAGTAGTATGCCTTGTATACAAACAATCATTTTGACGGGCAGTCTACTATTTTGAGAGGCTATCAAGTGTTGCTGGTATAATGTAGACAATAAGAGGGGCAGCCTCGGTGTAGACTGTTTCTATTGTACTAGAAGTATCATACTAAATTAAACTAATGATAAGCTGAAGCTGAAGTCTTGAATGAGATCTCCTCAGTTGAGACCTCGATATCGTCCCGCGAAAGGACTCCGAGACGTATGGCCTCCTCGGCGGTAAAAGTAGCAAAATGATCGACATGGTCATACTCTCCAAGACCCTGAGGCGGGGATAATTTAGCTAAGAGAGCATGCAGCGAAAAGCTTACCACAAACCCCAGGGGGAAGGCCAGGTAGTAGAGCCTGACACAGCCGATGGGGACTGCCACGCTGGGATTCAAGCTCTTGATGAAGCCGGGGAGCAACGGGGTGAAGCCAACAATCCAGGCAATAAAGGCCCTCCAGTTTACTCCGTTCCAGTAGTAATAGATACCCTCAGGGCTGGGGTCGTAGAGATCCGAGAGCTTCACCATCCGACATCGGTTAACCCAAAACTCGGCAACCATCAGGCCACACATGGGTCCCAGGAAGACTGCGTAGGCGGAGAGAACGTCAATGAAAGTGGTGGCGCTAGCGAGAAGCTCCCACGGGCACATGGCGATGGAGAGGATCAGCGCCAGGCAGCAACCACGCCGGATGTTGAGAAATCGAGGGAAGAGAGCCGCAAGGTCGAACGCTGCGCTGTAAGTGTTATCGACTGTGTTGATGGCCAGTTGGCAGATAACCATGCCTATGCCCGCAAAGAATGCCCCGGCACGAGACTTGGCGTTGTAGTCAGTGTCCAGCCATCTCAAAGCGATCTCGGGCGGGTTCCAGATCGCCTCGCCGTAGATACCCTGGGTGGCAGAGGAGGCGAGACACCCAAACAGGGGCATGAAGATCCCAAACACCAGAATGGAAAACCACTGGCCAAACACTTGGTCACCGGGGCTGCGGGCAAAGCGAGAGTAATCCGGCTGGTTTGTCAAGCCCACTGCAGCGCCGCCGACCACGGTTGAGACACCCTCCACCATGGACCAGCCCAGGGCCGAAGGGGATTTCAGGGTCGACGATTCGGATAAAAGGGGGCCGCCGCCCTTTGCTGTAGAGAGAGCCCATGTCATGATTCCCACCAGAGTGACAAAGGACAGTGTATTCATCACGGCGAACAGATTTCGAGTCTTCTCTGGAGGGATATAGAGCATCGGAATGGTCAATATATTATAGACAACCCAGCCGATGAAGTTTTTGGTTGTGATCCTGGCCGAAGCAGGGAAGGCGTTCTCCAAGTGCTGGAAGCCCGAGAAGACCGAGGAGAGCACAGCAGTCACACAGAGGCCTCCCGTATACGACTGCGTCGCAAACCACACAAGACTCAAGACGATCCGCTGGACGAGAGCAACGTAGGAGCCATACATGCCCCATACAGCCCGCGACCACACGGGGAAACCGATATGCCACTTTGCCCCAACATAGCCGTTCAGGACGGCCACGCCGGCAACGATCAGCTTTCCCAGAATCACGGCAATGACGCTCTGCCACACCGACAGCCCCGTCGACACGAGCGAGGAGCCAATTTGCCAGTTGCTGAGGCAAATCTGGTTAATTGCCCAGAAGGAAATAAACGCCCATCGTGTCCACGTTCGACGAGACGGCGGTAGTGGACGGATATCGTCGTTGATCCAGGCCGACAAGCTGTTCTCTTTGCTGGTCGGAACCGCGAGACAGTCCACCGCCGAACGCCACGACCTCATCACGGTACTTGTCTCCCTCTGGTAGTTTTTGGTTTTCCGTTCTTCCGGCTAGAAAGCTGCAATATAAACCGCCTCTGCAAGGGAGATCATCGGTATTTATGGCTGTCGGCCACACCTGCAGGACAGCATGTTTATCAGTGGCGGTCTAAATGTCAACTCCAACTCTAGGCAGTGTACTATATCAAGCATCTTGCCGAGTATATAGGCCATCCTGCTTAACAGCAGTCCTCCTCACTACCCTTTTTCAGATGCTCGCAAGCCTTGGAAGGCCGATACCTCTCGTAGCCAATAACTGATGAGTACACTCAGGACGAAGAAACAAGGGGCCACATGGTAGTCGGCAGGGATAATCGTCATTGACGAGCATGAAAAACGATAGGAAACCTCTTAGTAGTCTCCTTGGACATGCTGGCGAACTAGATAGTCCCTATTGCAGGTCTCTATCTGATGGGAAAGGAGAAATCGTGTTTGGGGAAGAAAAAGAGGTGGTAAACATTGATGCCTCAGGCCACGATAATAAGGACGTCCCCCCCTCCTTCCTTCCAGGCTGTTGTTCTGACGATGTCACTTTTATCAACTTCCCCCCCAAAGGCTTGTTATCTTGAGCTCAACTCACCAACACGGTCAGCACAGTTGCCGAGCAGATGGCCAGCAGTTCGAGACGTTCAAGGTGCTCTTCCGGGGCAAGATTATGGCGCTCGAGCGGCTTCACAGACGATCTGTACGGCGAGATCCCTTCAAGACGAGAACATCCACACCAAGCACGCTGCCGACGGGGCCGTGAACTCTGTTGCCATCGTTCCAGACCTGATCTCCGTCCTATACACGCAGAGCACCCGAGTTCCGTTCCGGCATCATGGTCATTAGACATCACCTGCTCTGCGTGGTGGAGTGATATCGGCCAGGGTCTGGAGATCGGCTCGGGGTCGTTCGGATACCATAATATCTACAAGCCGAGATATTTCGTCATGGAGTACGCAGTCTTTGACACATAGAGCATTGCTTCTACCAGTTATCAGGTCCTAGTTCTGTGGCACTCATTACGTACTGCGAAAAGCGCAGATACTGCCGATAATCGCGTATTTATGCGTATAGACTGTACTTATCTACTACCCGTAGAACAATTAATAGACCATTTAAATTTTTTACTTCCATCGCTACCTAACTTTCCTAGGCAATGCTATCTAATAATATCTATTTCAATACCAGAGTACCTGTTCGAAGTCGTATTCTGTAATCTGTAATCTGTAAGCATGCGAGGGCCGAGGCTGGGGGATCGGCGTGTTTTTGTTTGCCTCTCCCACTCCTCCTCCATCTTCAACTCTCACGTTTCCTATCCTCTGTCTGTCTTTAACTCTTGGATTTATGATTAGTGGTGTTTTCCTTTTTATTCAGACATGTTTAGAACAGCCTCTCGGCGAGTCTCCCGGCCGTTACCATTACCTGTCCGCCCCCGAGCTCTTGTCGCTTCCCCCTCGCGCACCTTCACAGGCGGTTATCCTCGGATGTCGTCACCACCACACTCATTCTCGTCGTCACAGTCAACGCTGCCGACCGTTGTACCGCCCGTGTCGACAGTGCTGCCCAGCGACTCGTACCAGCTGCTAGCGACGGGCGACAAAGCGGGCGCCGCGGAAGATGCTCTCTACGAACAGCAGATCAAGGATGTCGAGGCGTGGTGGAGCAGTCCGCGGTTCGAGGGCATCCGACGGCCCTACTCGGCTGCGGACATTGTGAGCAAGCGTGGATCGTTGCAGCAGACGTATCCTAGCTCGTTGATGGCGCGGAAGCTGTTCAATCTGTTGAACGAGCGGGCGGCGCAGGGAGAGCCGGTACATACCAGTTGAGTAGTGCCTTGCCCCGGAAAAAAAGAAAGAAAAAGAAGAAGGAAATATATATATAATTGGCCCATCAATGCGTTCTTTTACTAATGTTTTTTTTTTCTCTTTTCTCGCGCAGTGGGCGCCATCGATCCCGTCCAGATGACGCAGCAGGCTGCAAACCAGGAGGTGCTGTATATCTCTGGCTGGGCGTGTTCGTCGCTGCTCACCACCACGAACGAGGTGTCGCCGGATTTCGGCGACTATCCTTACAACACGGTGCCGAACCAGGTGCAGCGGCTGTTCAAGGCTCAGCAGCTGCACGATCGAAAGCAGTGGGATTCCAGGCGGAAGCTGTCTGCTGACGAGCGCAAGACGACGCCGTATGTCGATTATCTGCGGCCCATTGTGGCCGACGGTGATACGGGGTAAGGAAGAGCATTCTCTGTAGTGGAGCTGGGTTTTTTAGCTCATTGACGGGATACATAGTCACGGCGGTCTTTCGGCCGTTTTGAAGCTAGCCAAGCTGTTTGCGGAAAACGGCGCGGCGGCCGTTCACTTTGAAGACCAGCTTCATGGCGGCAAGAAATGCGGCCATCTGGCCGGCAAGGTTCTTGTGCCCGTGGGCGAGCACATCAACAGGCTTGTGGCCGCCCGGTTCCAGTGGGACATGATGGGCACCGAGAACCTGGTCATTGCCCGCACGGATTCGGAGAGCGGCAAGCTAATCAGCAGTGCGATCGACGCCCGGGATCATGAATTCATTCTCGGCGTGACGGAGGATGTCGAGCCTCTTGCCGAGACCCTCCAGGCGATGGAGCGCGAGGGGGCAGCCGCCTCGGAGATTGACGCCTACGAGCTGGACTGGGTCAAGCGGCACAAGCTCGTCACCTTCGATGAGGGTATGATATTTGACTGTTTGACTGTGTTGATAAATCATTCCTACCATACTAATTCTTCTCAGCTGTCGACGCTCATCTCGAGGCCGAGGGAGCACCCCAATCTGTCCGAGATGCCTATCGGCAACAAGTGACAAACAACCCCGACCTCTCCATCACGCGCCGACGCGCTCTCGCCAGCGACTTCTCCAAGAAGCCCGTCGTTTGGTCCTGGGACGTCCCTCGCACCCGTGAGGGCTTCTACCACTACCGCGCCGGCTTCCCTGCGGCGACCAAACGCGCCAAGGAGTTCGCCCCGTATGCCGACTTGCTCTGGGTCGAGACCGGCGACCCCAACGTGCAGAAAGCAACTGGTCTAGCGGCAGAGATTCGTCAATCCCACCCGGGCAAGAAGCTCGTGTATAACCTCAGTCCGTCGTTCAACTGGATGGGCCAAGGCTTCGACGAGGCATCTCTTAAATCCTTTGTCTGGGACCTAGCCAAGGCAGGGTAAATCTCTCTCTCTCCATGTCTATGTCTATGTCTATGTCTGCTGACCATTTAGATTCGTTCTACAATTGATCTCTCTTGCCGGGCTTCACTCCACCGCAACAGTGACCACCGAGCTCTCGCGCGCATTCAAAGACGAAGGCATGCTGGCGTATGTGCGTCTGATCCAGGCACGCGAGAAGGAACTAGGTGTCGAGGTCCTCACGCACCAGAAATGGAGCGGGGCGCCGTACCTGGACGGCATCCTGGGGGCGATCCAGAGCGGGAGCAGTAGTAGTCGGAGCATGGGTGAGGGGAATACAGAGAAGGGTAAGTGGTTTCCATTGATGTAACTGTTTATTACTTTCCATGATGGATGTAACTGATTAATTTATAGGTTTTTAACTAAATGTATCTCTAGTATTCTTGAGTATCAACAAATAGCATTCAACAATTCCCTCCTTGTAACCAATTTCATATACAATTTAACATCAGTGTACATTCAAATTCCATAGCGAGGTGTATACAGATGGGTATATTCTATTCCGAGAGTGATGATCTTCCGTTCATCCATCATACGACGGACGTCAGGTCAGGATCATGAAACAATTACTTGGAAGCAGTTGATACGTCACAATCCCAGTCTCGGCTCTGATTCGATGGCCCTTCTTCAGTCTTGCTGTCAGTTGATCCCTGTGTGCCAGTATATATCACTTCTTTACGTAGGCATAGTTAGGTAGACTTGGTAGGAGTATCCATTCACCCGACATAACACTACCACATTCTATTAAAGAGCTACAGAATACCTTTTACTGAAGTCACTTACTACTTCACTACTTCCAATGAATCATTTCGCGTCGCCCCTTTCTTACCATCCACTCATGTTGAACTCGACTTCGAATCGAGTCGGGAGAGTCGGACGATGGTATGTAAATCTGCCCAATCAAGGTGGCGATGTTCATGTTGACGATATACAAGGTATCTTCCTTTGATGGCCATAATGAGTCTTGGTAATTTCCAATCAACTCCGGGAGTCTCTTGCCCGCTTTTAACGAGGATCTCTGACGGGTGTCTAGGCTTCGGGATAGAGAATTACCGCGAGAACCAGGAGCGCAGGAGAGATGTCTTCGCCGGCGGAGAACACATGGCGGTCGGCGATAGTCTGCAGGCGAGAAGTCAAGGGGTCAGGCGTGCTATGGAGATATACGAGATTCAGTGAGGTGGCCTGATTCATGCTCATTCGTGATGCTGGCTCGGTTGAATGATTTATGATTAATTCTTATGATTGGAGTTTGGGCGTTGCTTTGTCGGTGGTCCATTTCCCCGATTGGCGGTTATTATGTCTATTTGGCTTATTATGATCAATTCTGGGCATCTAAAGTGGCGGTCAAGACTGCAATTCTGATATCCCTTACATCTAGAATCTTGCCCGGACACAATGGACTGTGATTATATAGTTGAAAGACTCAAGGGTATAGGTAGGCCTGGTAGATACTGCAAATTATCATGTAGCATCGTTCCTCGAAGGAAGGAAAGAAAGAAAGAAAGCTTTGTTCTCACTCATCATCGTCATAATGCCTGCTCCTCTAAACGTCATCATCATAGGCGCCGGCCTTGCAGGCCTGCTCTCTGCCCGAGTACTTCGCGAGCACCACCATGTCACCGTGTTGGAACGCCTTTCCGGCAGCCACGAGCTGGGTGCCGGTATCAACATTTCCCCCGCCGGAAATCGAATCCTCGAAGAATTCGGGTTCGACCAGGAGCGTGCGAAATCCATCGTGGCCTGCAGGTCGAAGATTTTCGACCGTCACCATAATATCGTCCAGGAGTTGGACATGACAGACCTAGTGGCGGCGGCCGGGTCAGAATGGCGTCTCAACCATCGGGGGAATTTGTGGGTAGAGCTTCATCGCCTGGCCACTGCCCCGTCCGAGGAGCTGGGCATCTCCGGTTCCCCGGCCAAGATCTTCTGGGAGGTGGACGTGGTGGACGTGGATGTGGAAGCGGGGCGAGTTCGATTGCAAGATGGCACGGAGTTACACGGCGACCTTATCGTAGGGGCAGATGGGATCAGGTCCATGGTAAGACCTCTGGTCGTTGGCGACCTGGCCTTTCAGTCTGCGCGGCCGTCGGGTGCATCAGCCTTTCGCTTCACACTACCGGCCAAGGCGGTCCGTGAGGCTGTCGGGGAGATCCGTCAGATGGACGGGCAAGAACCCAGCGAGCTCAACCTCCATCTAGCCTTGGATGATACCAGCCGCTCGATCGTGACGTATCCGTGTCGGGGCTTTGAACTCCTGAATTGCGTGTGCATCGCACCCGACTCACTCATCCGCGCCGAAGTCACCGAGTCGTGGTCTGCCAAGGGACGACTGGAGGATCTTCTCGAAACATTCGGCGACTTTGGAACGTTCTGTCAGTCTCTACTGAAGTAAGTCCCTCCTGTCATCTCCTAGATATATCCTGTCTCATTGTTCCCTTCCCAGACAAGCGGAGAACATCAAGCTCTGGCAATTGCGAGACCAAGATCCCCTGCCCACCTACATCAAGGGCCGGACCGTACTGGTTGGAGACGCTGCACACGCCATGACGCCGCACCAAGCGCAGGGCGGCACTCAGGCCATGGAAGACGCTGAGGCCTTCCGCTTGTTCAACCAGGAAGGCGTCTCACGAGACTCGGTACCCTCCATCCTGAAGGATTTCGATCGGGTCCGACGACCGCGAGCGTCCATGATCCAGAACACCTCGCGTCAGTCCCTAGATAGACGCACTGCCGGCTCCGTGTACAAGAACGTTCTGTACAACTGGGTCTATCCAGGGGTGTTTGAGTGTCTGAGGAGACTGGACGCGGGCGAAGAGATGGTCCAGATTCCAGAGATCAAACTTGAGGTCGAGTTGAAATAATATTTTGACTCTTGGCTGAGGACTCCCCGCTGGTCACGTGGGAATCACATGCTGACCCGAAGGAACCTGGAAAAGCAACAGCAAAAGAACTTGAGACTTACCAAAATATATAAGTAATCCAAATTGCCTATCACCTCAATGGAATCAATGGAAGTTGTTTCCACCCTTTCTTATCTGAGAGACCGTTAGTCCAAGCTCCTCATTTGTTAGTCTGCCCTGCTAATATGACCGCCACGAATCCTTCGGCATGCCACGATCACGCCGGCTGTCCAGTGTCCAGTGTCCAGTTTCCACTCGGAGAATGCCCTGCAAAACCTCCCAAGAGCAGCCACTCCCCTTTTACGGAGGACGCTCCTGGAACCGCGCCTAAATGCGGATCTGGTTGGCTGGACCCAAAAACCGAGAGTCAAATGCCCCGCGATATCTCCACATATTCGGCCATGTTCCTTGGACTGTGGGACTGGAGGGATTCAATACCACACGAACACGGAGCTGACTAGTGAAGAGTAAGACTGTGTCGAGCATCTTGTTGGTGTGCTTGACAAGGTGGTGGTGGTCTGACAGATCAGAGAAAATTCAGGTGTTTTCGCCAGTCATGCAGGCAGCCAGATGGCATCTGAGCCTTGCGGTGTTTTAGAAAAAAAAATAAGACAAGAAACGGATATATTGGAAAGTCAATATCACCTCCGATCCTACGCCTGATCCTGCAATTCCTTTTCCTCCGCTGTCATCTCTTGAAGCGGTCTCTTTTTTCTTCCCCTTCACTCTTCTTCTTCTTCTTCCCAATCTCCAGATGGACGTCATTCGCCGAATGTAAGTAAGCTCAAAAGCTTGACTGACTAGTGCTTGGCTCCACGGGCAGTTACTCACTCACTCTCTCGCTTTGCTTGACCAGACCCCGGGACAGTGTTGTCAGTCGTGTTCATCAATGGCTTCGAGCAACGCCCCCAAGCGATGGAGAAGACGAGGGCTTCGTTAATGCCTACCAGACACGTCCTGCTGAAGAAGTCACACAAACGGAATTCAAGGCAACCACCTCCAAACGCACAGACGCCGCAGCAGTCTCGCATATCCCATGTAGAGCCTGTCGCGAATCGGGCATCGACTGCGACTGTCAGAAACCGCGATGCTCGCACTGTCTTCACGAGCAGTTACTGTGCTTTTATATCCCCACAACAGGCGCGAAAAGGAGAACGGTAAGAAGATGACGAGCGGCGGGTTTAACGAGAGAGGACGGGAGTCAAACCACTGACTCGAAGAAGGAAAAATGCTGGCATTTTTTATTTATAGCTTATTTGTAAATATTTACTTACTCATCTATTTCATTGACAATCATGAATTTATAAGAAAAAAAAAAGAAGCTTGGCGACCGATAAGATTAGATGGAGAGGCAGAGAAGAGGAGGAAGACAGAGGGGAAAAAAAAGAAATAGTAAAAAAGAATGACCTACGCAGGATTCGAACCTGCAATCTCTTGATCCGTAGTCAAGCGCCTTACCATTGGGCCAGCAGGCCTTGTTGAAGGCGTTTGACTTATTATAATATATATTCTGATTGCAAAACTGCTGTGTCGAATAACGATCGCACATTTTCAACCACCTCATCTTTTATTGACGTGCATCTGCACCAGCTGTTGTGGCAAGGCCATTTAATATCGCCAAATCGAATACCCTACCCAGTACGGAGTCCTCCGTAGGGCGATTTGATCAGCACAGCCTCATTCATCTCACCGCTCTTTTTACATCAGGCTACATATGATTCCATCATCTTCTCGCGTGGCCCTGCAACGAGGGAGAAATACTGCTCAAATCCTAGGCGTTGATCATCTGGGGCAAACTGCAGGCTGCCCAAGAAGGAGGGAGGGGTAAAAGGGTTTACAGTGTACACTGCTGCCTAAAAGGGTCCAAAAGGGTCCAGTCAAGCTGACCGTGTAGCTATTTATATGCCACAATGCCAATCTATTACTGCATCAGACCCACCAAATATCGATCCAGCTGTCCGCCAAGCTTGAAGCCCACCACAGTCAAGAGAATGGCTGTAGGAGTAGGTGGTTGCGGGGTTGACTGCCTCCTTATATAAAGGGGTCATCATCTGTCTAGAAGACCTGATCATCTTCAAGATTCACCTCTACCACACTGCACACACACACGCGAGTTGCAACGCTCATCTCAACCTCACAGATCATCATGTCTTTCCACAATTCCTCCCACGACATCCGCATCGAGTTCGCAGACCGTAGCACCTTCTTGGTGGCGATGGTGAAAGACGCGCATGGACATCCTCACCCGAACCGTATCAGGCTCGACAAACACATCGGTAACAGTGATGGTCAGTACTGCGAGAGATATAGAGAGAGAGAGAGAGAGAGAGAGAGAGAGACCTTAGGAATATATCTTCTAACGTGTCAGGCTGGTTCATCTGGGGAGGAGAGAACTTCACCGCCACCGCTCGCGATATCCGTCTCGACCAAGGCCCCCGCGGACCGAAGCTGACGGCCGAACTGCCCATGAGAAACGGTGGCTTCCGAGAACGCCAGGGCATCGATTTGGCGGATAAGATCGAGAACCAGAACGGACACCTTGTATTCTTGGTGAGAGCTCTCTTAGAAGTATAATGGGATAACTATATACTGATCGATACTCGTCTTGTCTTGCTAGGGACCTTGAGCCGATTGTATAAAAACACACCAATTGCTATTGGGGATCAGTAGCAAGCTGTTTAGTTCTTGTTGTCAATTCTAGGAAATATATTTGATATTGAAGACATCTGTGATATCCTGTAGACTGTACTCTCAGTTCACCCTTTACAACTGTCCAACACGACATCTACCATCATGAGAACATTTTCCTCCTCCAGCCTTCGCCCGACCAGCTGCAGACTGACAGGCATACCATCCACGGCTTCTGCATTGTCTTGGGGGGGAAAGTCAGCCGATCCTCCTTTATAAATGATGATACATTCCGACTTACAGGTGCTGTTCACCAACTCATCGGTTGGGCTTAGCGGTTTCCAGTCCTGTACCACGTCCAATGCTTTATCAGCTTTGATGCCGCACGGGAATGAGACGGCAGGGTAGTCGAGAATATTGAACACGCCTGTATATCCCACATAAGTGAATTTGCCATGTTCGACGGAGCTGTATGGCGTAGTGGGGGCTTGATACGTTAGCATTAGCATTAGCATAGAAGAAAAGAAAGAAGATATATACTGATTAGTCCGTCTAGATCATGGCTGTTCCATCGATCGAGGTAGGCCTTGAGCACGTCGTTTCTGCTCAAATGAACCTGCCACATCTCATGCACGCCCAGCTCCTGGGCCTGTTCATACCGCCACATCTCAGGACGAAAGGGTTCCCCCGTGGGTTCGAGCAGTCTTCGCACCGATTTCCCCCCATCGGCGAGGAACTTTTTCGCCAGCAGTGCCTCGGCTTCCAGATGGCCTGTAGGCGCCCAGTCGATGATTTGATGTCCTGCCCGTCGCAGTTTTTCCACCGTCTCTCTCAGAGCGCGCGTCACTGGCGGTGTCGGCGTCACCACCCCGTCGTTCCAAAGGACACCCAGCTTTAATACGGGTTTTCTTTCCACCACCCGCCAGGGAATCGGCACACAGTTCGGATCCAGCAACCATGGCTCCTGGTCAATGATTGTCTTTGTGTACAGCGTTACCTCTTGTAATGTCTGGGCCAGCGGTCCGTTGACGCTCTTGACGGCCTCTTGGCCTGCGAGCCCGGAACGGGTGCCGATGTTAGGGAACCGACCGAAGGAGGGACGCAGCGTAAAGATTCCTGTACACGCGGCTGGGATTCGAAGAGAGCCGCCTGGTAATATCAATAAATATATTGATTTTTGTTTTCCTGTTCATCTGGGTGTGTACTTACCAATATCTGTCCCTACTCCGATCCGACTTCCCCCAAAGGCAATCAAGGCTGATTCCCCTCCCGATGAACCACCAGAGGTCAGATTTCTGTTTCGCGGGTTGACCGTCCGACCGAAGAGGTTATTGACTGTCTCGGCGATCATCATGGCAGTGGGCACGTTGGTCTTGACGTACAGAACGGCACCGGAGGCGAGGAGGAGATCCGTCAAGACGCTGTTGACACTGGCGGGCTGGTTGGCAAGCGAGGTGAAGCCGATAGTCGCATCCTTGCCGATGATGTTGAAGTTGTCCTTGAGGGAGATGGGGAGGCCGTGGAAGGGACCCGTCACCTTGCCATTCTGCTGGAGATGGACATCTAGGTCTTTGGCGCGGGAAATCGCTTCGTCGAAGAATATCTCAGAGAGGCAGTTTGTCTAGAGAGAAGCTGGCTTAGACAAGGGCATTTTATCTTTTTCTTCGGGTGTTCTTGCTTGTTTGTTTTTACCAGTTGGTGTGCTGCGGCGGCAGCCTTGCAGAACGCCCGCGTTACCTCCTCAGACGACCATTCCTTCTGTGCGATACGACGCAGAGTCTGCCCGGCATCCATGGAGATTATCTGTAGTTCTTGGTCCGTGAACCATCCAGACTGGGTCAGAAAGGCCGTCACGTCGGCCTGGTCGGCGGCGGGGAGGAGAGAGACGGGAATGGTCCATTCTGGCGGGATGGAGGCTTTCAAGGCCTGTTGTTTCTGTGTAGCGATAGTCTGCCACTGCATTGTGCGTGTATATAAAACGGATGGTCAAGGGTATCTAGATGGGTAATGAGGTCGTGGAATCGATATGCAGTCTATTTATACCACGGTGCGGGGTCACTTGCAGTCCATGGAAAGACAGCAGATAGGCATGAGATAGGCATCTCTGGCCGAAACAGACCAGGATCGCAACAGAGGCTGCGGTTGAATAAGTCCAACCGATAAGTCTAGGTAAAAAGGAAGGAGGGATTATCATTGCGGAACTGGTATCTCGATGATAACATCGGCTTCGGAAAGAATGCCGCTGGTGGATGATAAGATGAACTTGCATAGAATGTGTATAAAAGAGGCATGCAGATAGTGGTTTAGAGGTCTGTTGAGGGCCTTATCAGAGGCTTGATAATTGAGTCATGACTATAAGCTCATATAATCTTATCATTATTTAAAAACCATGTACACCTATCGGTTCTAGTTATATATTCTTGATAATAGACATGCCACCTTACAAATGTAACACAGTTTGAAACCCATTTGGTAGTAATGCGTACTGACTACATGTTCGAGAGCAATGATTAGATACTGTCACCATGATAAGACTCGGTATTTAGAGGAGAGTCACTGTTGAGCCAGTAGTTATTAGAAGTAACTATCCTGGTCGTGGGGGGCAAACAATTATTCTATAGATATTGAAATGCTGATATGGCAAATAATTTTGCCCATTGTCAACAACGTCTCCGTGGCGCAATAGGTTAGCGCGTTCGACTGTTATGCAGTCTATCGAGAGGTTGGAAGTTCGAGCCTTCCCGGGGACGTTTCTTTTTCTTTTTCTTTTTTTTTTTAATTCACCCATGAATTTACTCACCTCCAAATACTTCGTATACCATCAGGGACAATAACCAGAAAACAACCACAGGGGAAATCGACCCTTCGACAGTAAGTAACCGATACTCCTACACCCATCTGTCAGTCAGTCTATGCCTTCAGTGTTATTCCCCTGCTAGCTAGTCTTTCTTCTAAAAATGAACACCACACGAAGTAGCACAGGCAGCATTAGACCAAGAGCTGGATAAAAGTTTATAGAGAATCAGAGAATGTATAAGAAAAATGATAATAAAAGCTCCTTAACTAAATAACTTTGTCACATTGAGTTCTTCATAATAGTGACCCTGTAGAAAGAACCAGGGCCAGGCTGTGCACGTGAGCATCACTAGCGTAGGCTGTAGTCATTGCAGTCAAGAATCCTCGCCAGCTTCAGATCTTGCTCTCCTGTGCGTATCCAACGCAGGTTCTGTCCTGGTATATAAGGAGGTCGAGATCCTGCGAGATCCCGCGAGATACTGCCATCATGCTGCTCCAAAGTGCTCCTTTTATCTCCCTCGACCCCGTCAACCAAACAGTCGGGAAGAACGATGGCTTCGACACGATGTTGGGAGAGTATCGGCTTGTCTGTCAACTGAAGGATCTGACGGGTTTACGGTATTCAAAAGAAGCCTGTGGCTGGGATTCGCTGTCAGTATACAAGTCTGTTGATATTTCTTGGATGATGGCTAACCTTTCAGACCAGGTCCAAAAACCAAGACTGCCATACCATCACCACAAACAAGAGAATCAGAAATCAAAGCTGTCACATATCAGTACTATTTGAGTATGACATGGAACTCTTTCTCTCACATGCGTTGAGAAGGATGACATAATTTTATGATACCACTCCCTCCTATACCGATTCATTTTGAAATATCTCCTACACTTAGTGAATAACTTCTGCGTTGCCTAGACGAAAGTGAGAGTCTCTTGACAACACCTCTTCTCTTTTTCTCCCCCCCCCCCTTCCTCTCTTCTTCCCTTCTTCTCTCTCCCTCTCAGACACGTCTCTCTCTCTGCTGTCTACCGCGACGAGAGCCTCGTTAACCACCACCATGGCGTGTCTCGGATCATATCGTGTGGGATTCGACGGAAAGAAGTGGTTCTGCATCATAGATGGAGAAACCTTTGATACCAAGACAGATGTCATGAAGCACTACGCTGAGAAGCATGGTTGCAACGTGGTCTGCACGCGTTGCACGCTCGTTTTCGCCAGTATCGAGGCCTGGCAGGCTCACATGGCAGATCCCGAATGTCATAACCCTTGCCTCCTATGCCCGTTCCCCTGGCCTGATTTTGCTAGCACCAAGAAGTTGGCCCAGCACCTCTTCGCAAGACACAAAATGTGCACCATCTGCGAGGCACATGGTTTCATTGAGGAAGCAGATATCCTGAAGCATAAGGAAGACGACCACAACTGGTGTCTTGAATGCGGTTTTATCTGTGCAGACCAAAATGAGCTCCTTAGAGTAAGTAGCCTTTCCCCTTTTCCTTTCTTTCTTTATAGTTAGAGCTCTAGGTATGAGGGATATAGCTAACCGAAGACTCTTATCTCTAGCACGCCGACACCCACGACGATGTGAATCTCCCCTGCTGGGCCGGCTGCGGTAAACTGTTCGGTCTAGTTTACTCGCCTCTCGCTCACTACGAGAAGGGCGAATGCCCCCTCATCACCATCGAGCAGTACAGAGAAGCAGTCGGCAAGGCGGCGGATGACTGGATGGGCGACATCTCTCTGTGGTATGCCGGAATGCAGGACGCTCCCTACCGGTGCATTGGCTGCGACGGATGCGCCTCCGAGGTGTCGGAGCTGTTCGATCACGTCATGCACACCAAGGAGTGCCTGGAACATCCCGACCAGGGACTCGGGGTTGTTCTGGACGACATCCGCGCCGAGATCCGCAGGATGGTGGGCCGTGTCCCCGAGGAATGGGAGTGGGAAGACAGCATCCCGATGTCCGAGGCCCGCGAGGTGATCTCTCAAACTGTGCAGGATGATGTTTCCAGCCTTGTCCGTCGTCTGACCATCAGCCCGCTCGGGGCGCGCACCTTCCTGCCTCAGCCTATTCCTTCGCCGAATCTTTACGACTGCGAGGAGACAGAGTACGATACTACCGAAGAGGATACCGAGGAGGACGCGGAGGGTGATGAAGAGGATGCTAAGGAGGGTACAGAGGGGACCGCCGAGGAAAGCGAGGATGCGGATGAGGGCGCCGAGATGAAAAACGAGGAAGAAGACGACGAGATGGACTTTGACGAGGAGGGCAACGAGGAGGAAGGAATGGACGACGAGGAAGAAGAGGTGGAGATTATTGTGTGAGGGGGTCGAAAGGGAGACATGGACTAACGGACACCATTCCTGTTCCTCGATTCAGTTAGTTGATTGGGATGTCATGTCTGGTAGCTTGATGAAATACCTGTTGTTAGTTGGGTCTACCCTCTTCTAGATACTCTAGTTCAATAAAAAAAACAGCAGGGTTACTATCTATTTGAAACACGACTGCATATCCTTGATGCCACGCTACCAATAATACTCCTTGGTGTCCAGGTAATGTTACAGTCTAGAGGATACCTAGGTACGTCCGTGGAAATATAGTCGTATATTAAAGTATCATTCATTGAACGCCGCCATCCAGTGGCTAAGAACTATTCCTAGTAACAGTACCAAATACCTAGGTAACAAACAAGACATGATCTATCAGACTCGAATCTATCGGACTGATACTAATAGTTGTGGTTTACTTTTTTTTTTTTTCTCGATCGAGTGCATCGTTGTCTTCAGCACAGGGTCGATTTTTTTTGTTGGATTTTCTTTGTTTTTCTTTCCTGTTCACCTCGCCACTCTTCGCAAGTACCGCAGCGTCAAATACGCAGCGGCGAGGGTGGTGTACGTGCCTCCCCCCGCGGTGACCCAGACGGGACGGTGGGCGCTCAACGAGGTGCGAAGGAGATGAGTTTCCTTGCGAGGTTGTTTTTCTACATTATTAGCAACGAAGACGAAGGCAGAAAGAGAGGAGGCAAAGGGAAAGAAACGTACCAGCTGAGCTGCCGAATCGGCTCCGTAGAGTAGACAGTTGCTGTCTGCCTCTGTTGAGGAGGTTCTGCATGATCTGAGCAGACGACATGACGATTATGGATGATGATGGTAGATGGTAGGTAGATGGATGAAGGAAGAGAAGGGGCGATGCTATATACTGGATGCGGGGTAGTAAGTCAGACAAGAGTCACGGTCACGCACCCTCGATGACATGGTCCGTCGCTCACTGGGTATCCCTGCAGGTGGCAACTCCTGCTACCGCCCTCTCTGGTAGTACTTACAGTTTCAATGAGCCCGGATCGTCGAGCGCTATTGGCGATTGGAATCTGTGAGGCTGTCATTGGTCGCGACGGGCGTCTATGGCTGGCAATACAGGTATGAAATGGGAAGGCAATACCAGGGTTACCTATACAACTATCTACTAGGTTAGGTACCTTCCTGGTAGCATTGTATGGTTCTTATCAGATGCACTTCTAGTACTCCCTATATAAGTATGTTACTGAAATTGACGTATACTTTGATACTCCTATTCTGATACTGAAGATAGTCTCGTCGTCACAAGGTATGTACACGGCCCACTGTTCAGTGTCCACAGTGGATCCGCCCCCACTGGAATCCGGGGATGGAATCACGGAGAAGCTGGGGTAGCGCCCGCTAGCGACGATAGTCTCCCTCTGACCATGCGGTTGACACCAGGTGGATCACTCCGCCGTCTGCGCAGAGGGACGACATGTCTTGTCTATATTGAGGAACGGACTCGAGAAGAAAAAAGGGATGGAGGGAGACGAGGGTAGGAAATACGTCAAGTGCGACCGTGGGTGTGGTGACATATCCCTGTCGGTGTGCTACTTCCACGGTGTTTTTTAGTGGGGGAGAAAAAGGGAAGGGAGAGGGGAAGGATTTAATTTGTGCCTTCTAGGGGGTTATAGGGGAGGGTAGGTAAGTGTGATTGATATATGCCAAAAAAAAAAAAGATGTGGTCCCAGTGGGGGTCGAACCCACGACTTTGGCGTTATTAGCACCACACTCTAACCAACTGAGTTATGGGACCTTGTTGAAATGCGGCTGACTTTTTGCCTATATAAGCCAGTTACTTCAGCTGTTCTATATTAGATCACTTACAGGTATGTTTTAATATTTACTACATACACGTAGGTATCTTTGATACTATAGGTATTCTAGTGATTATTATTATTATATAAGCTACAGTATTACCAGTTAATCTGATTACTCTGGTTTCAACAATACTTTATCTCAAACTGCTATTTAGATTGTCTAGTAAGTAATAGTTATATATTAGATGAACAACCTAGTAGATAACCGAAATCAAATGGTTGCACATGAATGATAAGAATACCAGCACCGTCTAAAATTTTAAAAATGTTGATTATTACTTTGTCTGCTAAGAAACACTACAAAGCATGTATTTCAGCTCCATCCGTCATGGTTAAAACAGACGAGAGATCAGAAGAGAAGTTTGAAAAGATTGAGTGGCCTTGGCTAGGTCAAAATATGGCATATACCGGCAACAGAAGAGATATACTGGAGAACATAGTTTACAGGAATATCCTAGTGATATTTAAACTATTGTCAAATCACTTACTCTGTATATATCCGCTTGGAAGATTCCTATGCATAATGTCTAATCACCGGTCTTCAGATGGATTCTACCATCGAGCTAAGAATATATATGGAACCTACTTATCACTACTTCAACAGTCCGTCCAGATCGATGCTCTTAGGTCGCTCGATAGGAAGCCCCAGGGCGCGGTCCCAAATAAGTTGGGCCAGCGGGCCCAGCGCCCGACTGACGCCAAAGGTCACCGTGTAGTAAAGCGGCTGCCGGAAGCCGTAGTGGTAGAAGAGCACGCCGGATGCGGCGTCCACATTCGGATGGGGGTTTTTCGTCTATAATAACCAATTAGCATTGGGCGCGGCTAGCGGTGGAAAAAAAAAAACCTTTCCATGTTCAGTCAATACGCTAGGGGCAATCTCCGAGTTCTTCTTGACCAGCTGGAAGACCGGGTTGGCTAAGACGTCCGGCCGTGAGGCGGCAAAGTCCATCAAGGCCTGGAAGCGCGGGTCTGGCTTGCGGAGTACACCGTGGCCGTAGCCGGGGACGACACGACCGGACCGTAGAGTATCCCACAGGTAGGTGCGGACATCATCGTCGGTGAACGCGGTGCCGATCTTTTCGTGCATGGCCAGGATCCAGCGCAGGACTTCCTGCGCTGCGAGGCCGTGGAGCGGGCCCGCGAGACCCAGCAGCCCTGCGCTGTAGCTTAGGAAGGGATCACTGAGGGCGCTGCCGACCAGGTGAGTGGCGTGGGCGGAGACGTTGCCGCCTTCGTGGTCACCGTGCAGGGCGAGATAGAGACGCAGCAGATCATGGAAGTCGCTGTGTTCCGGACCGCCCTTGCCCAGCAGCTCGGCAAAGTTATGCGACCAGTCCTGGCTGGGATCCAATTCCCGGACGCCTAGGGTGTCTACCTGATCGGGATAGAAGACGAGCGCGGCCACGCGGGGGATCTTGGCTAGCAGCGAGATGCTGTCGTCAAAGGTCGGCTCCCAGTAGTCGGCCTTGTTGAGACCCTTTTCGTACGCGCGAGCAAAGACGGACTCGGTGTTGAGCGCCGCGACGACGACAGACAGCTGGGTCATTGGATGCATCGACCGCGGGAACGACTTGACCAGGTTGAGGATGTGCGGGGGCAGATGCGACTTCTCCGCCAACTCGCGGGACAGCGCGCGGACCTGCGCCGTCGACGGGACCTGACCCGTGAGCAGTAGCCAGAACATGGACTCCGGTAGCATCTCGGTCCCTGTGGGACCCTTGGGCAGCTCGCGTTGGCAGTCCTTGATCGTGCGGCCGTGGAACCGGATGCCTTTCTCCGGGTCCAGCACGGAACCCTCCCAGAGGATGGATTTAAGCCCACGCATGCCCCCGATGACACTGGCAACCTTGACCTCGCCAATTACCTCATCACCGCGTGCTTTCGCCTGCTTCAATAGTTCTCGTTTGGCGGGGATGATTGCTTGCAGGGTAGACTTGAGGTCGGCCTGGGCCGTGGAGTACCGACGGGGGTGTAGTATCGGGTTCAACTGCCAGTCAGCATTGAACCTAGCTCTCATATATACCGGTTCTATTTTCTTGTTCTCTTTGAAGAATTCTACCTTGGCTATTCTCGACGCATTGCGGGCTGTTCGTAGTGACGGTGTCATTTCTGGGGAAGCGGGACGGATAAGAGTGGGGAGTGAGTGATAAGAGTAAATTGCGGAGATGAGGCGAACAGACGGGTGAGACTGAGGAAACAGATGAAGAGAGAAGAAAGAGAAGAACAACAAGCCTAGAAACGAGTCAAAAAGAAAGCAAGCAACAGACGTAGGAGGAAGAGGAAGGGAGAAGACTGACAACGGCTGTCGGAGAATAAGCGATAATCGCTGAGACCAGCGGTTTCCCTCGGAGCCGAGGTAGGGCGGTTGCAGGCGGAGGAGGAGGAGGAGGAGGAGGAGGAGGAGGAGAAGGAGGTCAACAAAGATCTGCTGTCCTTACTGAGCTCTCTTTGAGAGTGAATCTCTGTCTCAGAGTCGAGAGAGAGAGAAGGTGTTTACCTGGCGATGACTGAGATAGAGAGAAGACGTCGAGAGCCGGTGAGAAAATTGGAAAGTCCAGGTGTTGTGACCTCACGTGGTCCACATTCCAGTTGCCAGTTGGCAGTCAAACAGCAGGAGAGCCTTTGGAGAGGGAGAACAGGACTCCGTGGTACTCCGTGGTACTCCGTGGTACTCCCTTGCCTGGTAATTTCCCAGTCAACGTCAACTGTGCTTACAACTACTGTATACTCCGGTAGGTACTCCGTACAGAGTACTCTGTAACTCTTGTCTCTCTGGAGGAATGGGATTCTGGTTATCTCATAGTTCTAGCAGTGATCAGTGATCAGTGATTGACTTTATTAACAGAGCCATAGGTACTAGGTACTAGATACTACTGCTACCAAGGACGAGTCCATTTGTTGACATCATTGATGCCTTAATCTCGACACCTTACTGCCTGAGGCCACACACTGCGCCACAGCTGCTCCACACATTCGCCACTGCAGCCACATGGCTTATACCTGCTGTCTGATTGGCCAGCCCCTCGGCTGCCTCAGGCCGCAATAAAAAAAATCTCGGTGGGCCGCAAATTTGGCCCAGTTTTTTGTCTGCCTCTGCATTATTTCTGCGGTACAGAACGCTTTCTCCCCTCTTTTCATCTGCGTTTTTGTTGCTGAGAGGATCTTCTGGACTGATTCCTGCTGTCATCCATCCTCGTTCAGCCCTTCCAGCCGCCCTCGTTGCGCCCAGCTGGTCGATTCTTGCGTCTCTTTCAGGCGCCGTCGATTTCCCCTCTCCCCTCCCCGCCATCGCGGACTGGGCATCCGTGAGAGTCGCTGTGCGAGAATCACCCCCTTTTAATCGCTCTGTTTGATTTTTTTGCTTCGATTTTTTTTCGATTCCGATTGTGTATCTCTTCCCGAGGCCACCTATAATTATTTTTGATACCCGATATGCCTCACGAAGTCGCTCCTTCGCCCGCCATGACCACCGTTGTGTCCAAGAGCCCCTCCACCGTGCCCCCGACCGCCGAAGAAATTTCTTCCCTGCTGCAGACCGTCTTCACGGCCGACACCTCGCAGCAGTCTCTTGATGGCTCCTATGCCTTGGCCAACCTGCTGATCCAGAGTGTCGGATGGCGTGGTCTGCACGGCTACAATGTCTTGCAGGAGGTGAAAAAGGCTGCTGCTGATAAGAAGAATGGCGCCCGGCGGGAGAGTGCCATGCTCATCCTGGGCGCCCTGTTCGAGCGTTTCCCGCGCGAGCATCCGTTGAGTGACATTGTCTTCCTTATTCAGGACGGTGGTGTGCTCAACGTCGCCCTCGATGCTCTGGCTGATAAGGGTGCCGTCGTGCGGGATGCCGCCCAGTACGCTGTTGACTCCCTGTTTGCCGGCCTCCAGCCCGAGGCCCTGGTCAACGCCCTGCTGCCTGCCGTCTCGCGATACCTCAACAAGCCCTCGGGTAAATGGCAGGGGTTTGTGGGTGCTTATGCCCTGATCGAGAAAATGGCGCTCAAGGCCCAGATGGGCAACGGCTCCAAGGAGGAGGAGGAGCTCAAGGATGTGCTGCGTGAGGCCATGGGCAAGACTCTCAAGGAGCTGATCCCGATCGTTGAGTCGGGCATGCATGATCTCAAGAACGAGGTCGCCAAGCAGGCCTCCAAGACCATGAACGCCCTGACCACCCTGCTCTCCAACGACGACGTCGCCCCCCGCATCCCCCTGCTGATGAAGACCATGGAGCAGCCGTCGGAACAGACGCTGCAGAAGGCCATCCACGCCCTCTCCCAGACCACCTTTGTCGCCATCGTCACTTCGCCCGTGCTCGCCCTGCTGACCCCGCTCCTCGAGCGCTCTCTCAACGCCCCCTCCACCCCGCAGGAGGTCCTGCGCCAGACGGTCGTGGTCGTCGAGAACCTGACCAAGCTCGTCCATGACCCCGCCGAGGCCCGGACCTTCTTGCCCAAGCTGAAGCCCGGTGTCAAGGCCGTCAAGGACCGCGCCTCGCTCCCCGAGGTCCGTGAACTGGCCACCCGCGCCCTGGACGTCATTGAAAAGGCCATGAGTGACGACAACGCCGCCGCCGGCTCCATCGTCAAGACTACGGCTGAGGAAGTACGGGCCGTCCTTGAATCCAAGATCCAGGCCCAAGGCGCTGCTCTCGCTGTGCCCGCCGAAGCCGCCTTCTTCGACCTGGCCAAGGCCTACATCGCTGACATGGTCCGCGAGGATGTCAACACTCGCATGCTCCATCGCATTCCCGGCTGCACGGCCCCCTACCTTCGGGGTCTGTTGACCGAGGACCAGCACGACGCCGTGGCGGCTGCTCTGCAGGCGCACTATGTCGAAGAGGACCACCGCAAGTACGGCGCCCCCGTGCAGGAAGACCCCAACGAGGTGGAGATTGTCAACGCCGACTTCTCCCTCGCGTACGGTGGTATGCTGCTGCTCTCTCACACCAAGCTCCGCCTGCTCAAGGGCCACCGGTACGGCCTCTGCGGCCGCAACGGTGCCGGCAAGTCCACCCTGATGCGCAGTATCGCCAACGGCAAGCTGGAGGGATTTCCCCCGCAGGATGTGGTCAAAACGTGCTTTGTGGAACACAACCAGGGCGAGGACGCGGAGCTGAGCATCCTCGAGTACGTCTCCAAGGACCCCGAAGTTGCCGCGGCCGGGGCCGAGAACATCAGCAAGGTCCTGCTCGAATTCGGATTCACCGATGGGCCCGAGGGCCGCCAATCGCAGGGCGTCGGCTCCCTGTCCGGTGGATGGAAGATGAAGCTGGCGCTCGCGCGAGCCATGCTCATGAAGGCCGACGTGCTGCTGCTTGACGAGCCGACCAACCACCTGGACGTGGCCAACGTGCGCTGGCTGCAGGAATACCTGAAGAAGCACACCGACATCACCAGCTTGATTGTCAGTCACGACTCGGGCTTCCTGGACGAGGTGTGCACGGATATCTACCATTATGAGAACAAGAAGCTGGTCTGCTACAAGGGCAACCTGGCGGCGTTTGTCAAGGTCAAGCCGGAGGGCAAGAGCTACTACACGCTGACGGCCAGCAACGTGCAGTTCAAGTTCCCGGCGCCGGGCATCCTGAGCGGCATCAAGTCGCAGACGCGGTCCATCCTGCGCATGACCAACTGCTCGTACACGTACCCGGGGGCCAAGAAGCCCTCTCTGACGGACGCCTCGCTCTCGCTGACGCTCTCGTCGCGCGTGGCCATCATCGGCGGCAACGGAGCGGGCAAGTCGACGTTCATCAAGATGCTGACGGGCGAGACGATCCCGCAGACGGGCAAGGTGGAGAAGCACCCGAACCTGCGGATCGGATACATCAAGCAGCATGCGCTGGAGCACGTGGAGATGCACCTGGAGAAGACGCCCAGCCAGTATCTGCAGTGGCGGTACGCCAACGGTGACGACCGCGAGGTGCACATGAAACAGACGCGCGTGCTCACGGAGGAGGATAAGGAGCAGATGAACAAGCCCGTGGACCTGGGCGACGGGCGGGGCCCCCGGCGGATCGAGGCGCTGATGGGCCGGCAGAAGTGGAAGAAGACGTTCCAGTACGAGGTGAAATGGGTGGGCCTGCTGCCGAAGCACAACACGCAGATCTCGCGCGAGACCCTCCTGGAGCTGGGTTTCTTCAAGCTGATCCAGGAGTTCGACGACCACGAGGCGTCGCGCGAGGGACTCGGGTTCCGCGTGCTGGACCCGAAAGTGATCGCCAAGCACTTTGAGGATGTCGGGCTGGACCCGGAGATCGCGACGCACAACGAGATCTCCGGCTTGTCGGGCGGGCAGAAGGTCAAGGTCGTGCTGGCGGGCGCCATGTGGAACAACCCGCACCTGCTGGTGCTCGACGAGCCGACCAACTTCCTGGACCGCGACTCGCTGGGCGGCCTGGCGGTCGCCATCCGCGACTTCAAGGGCGGCGTCGTCATGATCTCCCACAACGAGGAGTTTGTCGGTGCCCTGTGTCCCGAACAGCTGCACATCGCCGACGGCCGCATCATCAGCCGCACCAACACCGCCGTCTCCCTCGACCGCTTCGAGGACAGCGCCGCATCCTCCCCTCAACCGGGCGGGAGCACCGCCGCCACCTCGGCCGCCACCTCGGCCGCCCCTTCGGCCGTCAACTCGGGCGCCGAGGACACAGGCGAGCTCAAGTTCAGAGCCAAGAAGAAGAAGAAGCTCACCCGCGCCCAGATCAAGGAGCGCGAAGTCCGTCGCCGTCTGCGTCATATCGAGTGGTACGTCTCTCTTCAGTTCATTATATATATATATATATATATATACAAGTATATTGACTATTTAGGCTCAACTCCCCCAAGGGCACACCCAAGCCCGTCGACACCGACGACGAGGCGGACTAAAACCGTTCGATCCTCCTTTTCTTCCTTATTGTTCGTCTGATCTCTTGCGTATGAGCGTACGACAATTGCTTGGGTAATATTGCTTTTTTTTTTTCTCTTTTGGTTCTTCCCGCCGTATAGATAAGAAGCTGGATTGACCAGCCTCATGATCCAGTACATACATTGTCATGATCTTAGTTATGTCTTATAGTTATGACCTTATAGCATAGATAGAATGTTTTGTTACAGACTACTTGGATGGACAATTCGCAGTAGTCTTCTCAGTCTTCTTAGTCTCTTCTTCTTCCCCTTTCTCTTTTAATTCCAAGTCCGGAGTACTCCATACATTCTTAGATGATTGGGATTGACGTGTGCGCGGAGAGCAGACTTTTTGCCAGGATGGAGAGAATAGTTATTTATCATCATAGAGTGAGTATATTTGTTGATCTCTCAATGCGACCGACATACTGTATCTACACCAGGCACTCAAAGGTAACTTTGTAGTGTCAAAAGAATGAACAATAATAATAATTGTACCTGATATTATTTAATAAGATCTATGAAATTATGACAATAATAAAGACAAAAAAAAAAGAAAAAAGATAGCATGTCCTCGTTTCGATCGAGGGTCCCTTGGGTTATGAGCCCAATGCTCTTCCGCTGAGCTAACATGCTTCGATGGAAAAATGGCTACATATTTGGTTATATAGTCTCACTCCCCTACCACAGAATCTATTTCATATATTTATCTTCAATCCTTTCAACCAGACAGCGATATAGACTCTACATTGTTAAGATCCTCTACTCAAGATATTATTATAATATTCAGTCACTGCTCAATTCTGATACTAGTAATTATAACTATATTATTCAACTCTTTATACTCTTTATACTCTTTTATACTCTTCATACTATTTTGCAGTTTTACGCCATCCATAATTGGCAACTTGTCGCGTTTCTGTCGTGATCAGCATTGCAGCGCTCTGATTGGCCACATCCCCTCGCCTGCACTTCCTCAGCTTCACCTCCCTTTCTCCCACCGCTGGACTTTCCCTGGCGCCCAGCACTTGCTCTCCTTCTCGCTCCGGCTTGCCTGATGGTTCTTTATTTCTTGGGCCATCGCCTCCATCGCCTCCTCGTCGAGTAAGCTTGGAGGCTGTCGCCGCTGACGAGCCTGGTGGGGGCTGTTTTAGACGGCCGATAACTACCCAGTACCTGCCTGGTACCTCCAGCAGTACTGGTGGACTGTACGGCATGGCTCAAGGTCCCAGGACCGACTCTCGTGCCTCGAACGAGCAGAAGAAGATGGGCGGTGCGGAGAAGACCAAATTCCGCCCTCGCGACCGCCGTCAGCCGCCCGAGTCGCTCGCTCTGTTACATCACCGTGATGGCCACGACTCCCGAGAGGACTCGGACGAGGCCGAGTCTGAAGCCAGGCGGGGGATGGAGACGGACACGGAGACAGACGATCCACACGCCAGCTTGCTTGCAGACAGCCGGGCTATGAAGCCACCGCAGTATCTCGACACCCTGTCAGCCGCCGAGGAGGCGTTGCTGGCCGCCTCCAAGAACCAGGTCTTCTCCTCCTTGGTCTTGGACGGCGATGACCATCGCCGCTACCACTATCGCCTCCCTTTCTGGAGGCGGCGCTGTCACTTCTTCCCCTGGCGGGCCACCGTGGCGGTTCTTCTTGCTGTGTTTGTTATAGTGATGACCGTGCGGAATGATATCCGCAGCTATGTCTTCTACCAGTCCAGTCCGGTCGTTTATGTGCGTGCGATTTCCCCCTCTTTCTCCTTCTCCTCCTTCTTCTCGAAGACTTACCATCAAATTAGAAACCCGTCTCGTGGTACCCAACGCCACGGGGAGGAAGTTCACAACAATGGGAGGAAAGCTATCGGAAGGCATACGACCTGGTCCAGACCATGTCTCTGACTGAAAAGGTGAATATCACCACCGGGACTGGGTGGCAGATGGATCTCTGTGTTGGTAATACAGGTAGGCTTTTCTTTTCCTTTTCCTTTTCCTTTTTTTTTATTTCCTCCCAATTCGCTGATTTGATGAAAATAGGCGCCACGTCTAAATTCCCATCGTTATGTCTTCAAGATGGGCCGCTGGGGCTGCGGTTCGCATACAATATCACTGCCTTCCCGGCCGGGATCACCACGGGCGCCACATGGAACCGAGAGCTGATGTATGCCCGCGGGGCTGCGCTGGGCCTGGAAGCCCGGCTCAAGGGCGTCAACGTGCTTCTGGGACCTGCCATGGGTCCGCTAGGCATGATGCCCGCCGGCGGTCGCAACTGGGAGGGGTTTGGTTCGGACCCTGTACTGCAGGGGGTCGCTGCCGCGGAGACCATCCGTGGTGTCCAGCGTAACGGAGTCATGGCCACTGCTAAACACTACGTGATGAACGAGCAGGAACATTTCCGCCAGCCCTACGAATGGGGCATCCCCAACGCTATGTCCTCCAACATCGACGACCGTGCCCTGCACGAGGTCTTCCTCTGGCCTTTTGCCGAGAGTGTGCGCGCCGACGTCGCCAGCGTCATGTGCGCCTACCAGCAGGTCAACAACAGCCATTCCTGCGAGAACAGCAAGCTGCTCAACGGCATCCTCAAGGATGAGCTGGGCTTCCAAGGCTTCGTACAGTCGGACTGGCTCGCACAGCGCTCCGGTGTGATCAGCGCTCTCGCCGGCCTGGACATGAGCATGCCCGGCGACGGCCTGCGCTGGGCCGACGGCGATTCCCTCTGGGGGAACCAATTGACCCGTGCTGTGCTCAACACCTCAGTGCCCATAGAGCGCCTGAACGATATGGTCACCCGCATCGTCGCAGCATGGTATCACTTCCGACAGGACGACTGGCCGAAATCCCCGCCCGACGGCAAGGGGGGGCCCAACTTCTCTTCGTGGACCAACGAATCCGTCGGTCTGCTGCACCCGGGCTCCGGGGAGAACATCACGGGCGTGGTCAACCGCTTCGTCGACGCTCGTGGCCACGGCTCGCTCGCCCACAGCCTCGTCGCGCGCCAGGTCGCCGCCGAGGGAACGGTGCTGCTCAAGAACGTGGACAGGCTGCTGCCCCTGTCCCGAACCATCTCCGGCACCTATCGTGTTGGAATCTACGGCGAGGACGCTGGCCCTGGGGACGGGGCCAACCTCTGTCCCGACCGACGCTGCAACCAGGGCACCCTGGGCTCCGGTTGGGGTAGCGGGGCGGCCGAGTTCCCCTACCTGGTGACACCCTGGGAGGCCCTGCAGGCCGCTTGGAACACGTCGAAGACGGTCAAGACCCAGGCATATCTGACGAACGAGGTCAAGCCGCGTGACCTGCAAGATAAAGATCTGTGCATCGTGTTTGCCAACGCAGACGCCGGCGAAGGGTCGCAGCCGGGTCTCCAGGGCGTTTCCGGAGACCGGCCGGACCTGTTCCTGCAAAAGGGCGGCGACCAGCTCATCCAGACGGTCGCCACGCACTGCGGAAAAGGCAACGGCAAGACCATCGTCGTGCTGCACGCCGTCGGCCCCGTCATCGTCGAATCCTGGGCGGATCTCCCGGGCGTGCATGCGATCATCTTTGCCCACCTGCCAGGCCAGGAAAGCGGACACGCCCTGGCCGACGTGCTCTTCGGCGACGTCGATGCCAGCGGTCGACTCCCCTTCACCATCGGACGCAATCTGTCCGACTATGGCGCCAACGCGCAAGTCCTCTACACAAACAGCGAAAAGGACCATGTCCCGCAAGTGAACTTCACCTCCGGGCTGTACATCGACTACCGCCACTTCGATAGAAACAACATCACTCCACGGTACGAGTTCGGCTACGGCCTGTCATACACGACCTTCACCCTCTCAGAGGCAAGTCTCACCCCGCTCCAACGCAAATCCGCGCTCCCCGCCCGCCGGCGCAAGAACGCCGTCACTCCCCCCACATACCGAGACGACGACCACGGAGGCGACGCTCACAACTCCCTCTTCCCCGCCGACTTCACCCCGCTCCATAATTACATCTATCCGTACCTATCTGACACGAATGGGACGGACAAGGTCCCCCACCCGTTCCCCTATCCAGACGGATACCCCGCGAACCCAAAGAAGAAGCATCACCTCTCCCCTGCCGGCGGCGGACCGGGCGGTAACCCATCGCTCTACGAAGCCGTAGCCCAGGTCTCGGTGAAAATCAAGAACACGGGCTCCAGACCGGGCAAGGAAGTGGTCCAGGTATACGTCTCCTACCCTTCAGATAATGAAGATGAAACCGATCATCAAAAACATCATCCCTTTACCGAACGACACGGCCTATGGCGCTACCAAGTCGACTTTCCAGACCGGGTGCTCCGCAACTTCACCAAAGTAGAGCTCGCCCCGGGCCAAGAGACCACCGTTCAGATGACCCTCTCCCGCAAGGATCTCAGCTACTGGAGCGTCTGGCGCCAGAACTGGGTGATGCCTGTGCAGGGCAAGTTCCGGATCTGGGTCGGCAAGAGCTCGAGGGATCTGCCGCTTGTATTGGAGTACTAGATTATATCATAGCTAATTATATCGAAATGTTTTGCTCTACAACTTTGCTCCTATAATTTTCACTATATGCATCTATCTACCTAGGTATCAGTTCACTGGCTCATCCCCCCGATCAGGCTGCTTCTGCCTCTGCCGCTCCGACATCACCTTCCTGCCAACAGGATAATTTGTCACAAGCAAGGACGACAGGAAACACAGGCCAATCAGAGGCGCGTACGAGACAAATACCGCGTGAAGCCCGCGCATGTACACGGATAGAATGAGCTGTTGGTCTTCTTCCGAGAGGTTGGTGCGCGGCAGGTCGAGCACGTTGGAGGTCAGCCCGGCGATTACTTCGGGAGGAAACCTGTCGCGGAGACCGGACTGTAACACGTTACTCAGGATGGCACCGGATACTGGATAATGTCAGTACATAATGATAGACACGGGGTTTGTTGTTCATAAAGTAGTAGTACCTGTAATTCCAACGGCTCCTCCCATGGCGCGAAGAAAGTTCCTCAACCCTGTCATGACTGCACAGTCCGCCTTGTTGGAATTGGCCAAAAGGGCGACAAGCACCGGCTGGAAGCAGAAACCGATGCCAAAGCCGTCGAAGATGCCCAGAACGACAAACACCCAGACTGGAGTGTGCTGGGTGTACAGCGCCTTGCAGCCGGTGGTGACTGTCCAAACGGCAGCGCCGGTGACAATGACGGGCCAGTATCGCCCCGTCCAAGAGACCAAGAACCCGCTTAGACCAGAAAAAATACCGTGCGCGATGACCATAGGCAGAATAAGAGTGCCGGCCTTGATCGGGTCCCAGCCGCGCACGTTCTGAAAGTACAGGGGCAGGTAGAAGAGATTACCCCAGTACACCCAGCCGATGGCAATGTTCTGCGCCAGCAGAATGTTGGCTGAGTACCCACTGGTAAACAGGTGCACTAATGTGATCATTAGTATCTAATCTCATCCTGATAGGCAGTTAGAAAAAAAATACTTGGTATGATGGGCAGCCGGACAACACGCCATTCCAGCAGTACAAAGGCTACACAGAGCGCAACACCGGCTGACAGCATGGCGACGACCATAGGTGAGCTCCAAGGGATATTTGAGCCACCTTGAGAGACAGGAATCTAACATGGATCAGTTTCGTTACTCGGGATCGAATTAGATGATCATACCAATATCAAGACTACCGCCACAAGACTGACAAGAACCCCTAGCCAATCCACCATCTTCAGCTTGGTCCAGATATCCCCGGCCACTCGCGATGGGGGAAGAGCCAGTAGTAGAATGATAATCGTCAGCGCAGCCATTGGGCTGATGGACCAGAACACCCATCGCCACGAAGCCTCCCCGGTCAAGACGCCGCCGATAACAGGACCTAACCCGTTTCCCAGAGCGACAAAGATACCGATGATACCAAAATAGTTCCCTCGTTGTTCCAAAGTTGAGATGTCCGAGATGGTCACCTGTACCAAAGCATTGATGCCCCCAGCGCCCAGCCCGCTGATCGCCCGCGTGGCATACAGCTCCATTGGGGTGCGTGCAAAGCCAGACAGCGTGTTCCCCAGCCCCATCACCGCCAGGGCGGCGATAAGACATGCCTTACGACCAAAGATGTCGGACAGCCGGCCGTTGACCAGCTGCACACTCGTGCTGGAGATCAGGAAGCTGGCGCCCACCCAGGAAATGCTCGAGCCCGTGTGCAGCCGGTCAGCAATAGCCGGAAGCGCCGTAGAGACAGCTGTCTGGTCGAGCAGGGAGATGAATTGGACGAGGGCCAGCGCGGGGAAGACGATCAGCAGCTGGCGAGGGCCCAGGACGTGCGACTGCTCGTCTTTGAGCGCCGCTTTCAGCAGCGGTGTCCGCTCAATAGGCGCAGGAGCCATTCTTTCGAGGCCTCGATCAAGCCCTGGCAATATTGGAGGAGAAAAGACCGGGGAGGGAGAGACGTGGGAGGTGAGACGAGGTGAGGCGAGGTCAGGACTTGAGGCACCTTCCTAAATGGTAAGCGAGGTCAAGTGATCGCACGCAAACAAACCTTCGAGCCGCACACACAAAACAAAGAGAATCTCTTATAACTGCCGGACGGTGGAAAAGGTCTTGTCTCTCTCTTCTCATCGCGAAACGCACGCAAGGACGAGCGAGCAGACGAGGGGCACTTGATCTGCAAGGAAGATAAAGTACCCTGGCTACCTGCAGAGACGGTCTCGCCTCTAGATGCCGAAATCAGAGCAACTGCAAGGAATCGTCATTGAGCTCGAATACGTCGTACAGGTTAGAACACCGCATCGAAGATACTTGCCGATGGGCCAATCTGCGTGGGGAGCTGGCTAACACATTGCTTTTTTTCTGGGAATAGGGACTCGGTAGACGGACGATCGGCACTCGTGCTGCCAGCTATTGGTTTATACCACCCTTTTGCACAAAAATCTTTGATACGGATTCTTCATTAGGTACGAAAGGTTGTACGGAATACTTATGGGATCGATACGTCAAGTTCGCGCGTGGCCATGCCTCTGCCTGAGATCTAGACTTGCCAAGGTAAAGAATATGCATGGCGTGTCCACCCTCGTCTTGTTCAGTCGAGGACAGAATATGGAGGATATTTGAGGAGTGGGATCCTCACCGAGCCATTTCATGTCTCCAAATGTTGAAGCCTGTGTTTCCTGGTATGTATTCTGAACAACCAGCTATTGCATATCTAATCGTGCTTGTTGGATGATGATTAGTTGAATCTAGACGAAATTCGTGAGTGGACTGGTCTCATGAACACTCATCCTTCTACAACTCTGTTATCATGCCTAGATTGATCAAGATGCTGTCCCAGCTCTTCGGAGCCTCGGTAGTCATAGATGATCGGACAGCCTAGGAGTCACTAGCCCTTCGCTTGGATAGGGAATTAGTATATCACGGCTCGCGAATGACATGGAGGCTAATCTATCATATGTAGATCCTTCTCTACACCTCCACTCTTCACCTCTCCACCTTCAGTTAACCAGGGTCGTCTGGCTGCCGCCGAACCTGGTCGAGAAATTCGACGACAAAGGATATCTCAACGGTGTAATAAGGAGTCACCACCAGCAGCATGTTAATGAAAAGCTGCCTATGCCCTGCGCGTGGACCGTATCAGCTGATCAAGACCTCGACGCCCTCCTGAGGGAATCCATCGTTGCGAAACCGGTTCGTGGGCGTGGAAGCCATGGCGCCAAGGTGTGCTATGTAACAGGGGAGTTTACGGACTCATCTAACCTCCCTGTTTGATGAGTCGCCGGTTGTTCTACTTGAAGAGTTTCTAGCCGATGAAGAGGCTACAATAGCAGTGATAAAATCTTCTTCTTCTTCTTCTTCTTCTTCTTCTTCTGGTGGCTAGTTTTTCTCTCCCAACCCGTAACACGCTTCAACCATCAAGATAAACCTCCATCCATCTACATTTTTACATGTTACAGTTTATACTGACGAGTGTAGGATATGACAGGGCCCAGGTCGCCCCGGCCGATCCGATCAAGCGAGTCTGACAGCTCGGGCGACGAGTAGGCTGGGATGGGACTGATTCCGACTTTGCTAACAGATAGTCTCGACACGGCGACGATGTGCAGTCTAAACAGTATAGTATGGGAGTATAGTATAGTAATGTAGTAATATAATGTACATGATATATTCATCTAGTTCAGCTATTCACATAACAAGACAATCGCCCTCGCTCTGCCGTACATTCGAGCGTGACAGACGTGTCTTTTGCATCCGGGTTCCTCCCCGTTTGAGGTCTTCGAGACGTTCGCGCGCTTTCGGGAATCCTTGAGCTAGAGGGAGTGAGTATGCGTTTACAAGAGTGTGTCAGGTAGAGAACATACCAGCCGCTCGCCAATACCAGCGTTTAGCATCATCGAGATTGGAGGCGGTGCCGATGCCCACCTCCGTGAAGTAACCCATGGCGTACTCTGCCTTTGCGAGACGGGCGCTCGCCGCCTTGCGAGCCCAGAGGTAGGCCTCTGTGTCTGATTGTTCGAGGATGCCGTCCGCACCGGTGAGATACCAGCCGCTCAGGGCGAGTTCGCTCTGATGCTCGCCCTGGGCGGCGGCTTTGGTGTACCAGAAGATACTCTGGCGCTGGTCGACGGGTAAATCCAAATGGCCGTGCTCGTAGGCCTGGCCCAGCCGGAACTGGGAGAACTTGTAGCCCAGCTCGGCGGCGTCGTGGAAGAGTTGGCGTGCGTAGTCCTCGTCGCGGACGATGATGTCGTTGGGCGCCGCGCTCTCGTACATGAGAGCCAGCTCGTGCAGGGCGTGCGGGTTATCTGCATCGGCGCGGTCGGCGGCGCGTTTCAGCCAGGAGATGCCCTCGCGCGGGTTCCGTGCTTGGCCCAGAAGGCCCTTGAGCATGATCATCCCCATCTTGTACATGGCGGGCGGGTCGCCCAGGGCCGCGGCGCGCTTGTACCACTGCACGGCTTTGAAGGGGTCGCGTTTCGTGCCCCCGCCTTCCTCGGTGCCGATCTCGCAGCACACGGCCACCCGGTAGGCAGACTGCGGATGGCCCGCTTTCGCGGCGGAATGGTATAGCGAGAAGGCTTCCTTGGGGTCCGCGGCCAGTCCGAGCAGGCCCTGCCCGTAGCAGTCTGCCAGGAAGAACTGGGCGTCCGGATAACCGTCGTGCGCTAGCTTCTTGACCAGCTTGTACGCGTCCACCACGAATTTCTCCCGCGTCTTCGCCCGCGTTTTGGCGTCCACCCGCCGCTCATCGCCCACTAGCACCGTCGACGCCTCCACCAGCTTCTTCACCAGCGTCAGCGCCGTCTTGTAGTCGTTTGGCCGGCTGCGTACCGCCACTTGCAGGTCCGCTAGTTCTTCCCGTGTCACGGGGGTAGACGGCACCGCTGCGCTTTTGCCAGTACCAGCACCTGCACCTGTAGGAGCAGCACCGCCATTACCGCCACCACCACCATTACCAGGACCACTAGCAGGAGCAGAAGGAGGAGGCATTTGTTGCGCAGGCGTCTGTGTTAGATTACGCGGAGGAACCCCCGCTGCCCCAGGCGCAGGGGAGTTGTTATACTGTCGAACAGGCATCGGCTTGCTGCCCTGGTCGAGACCCGGCCTGAACGGGGCCGGAGGGTGTGATAGACCGTCCGGGTTCTCGAACGGGGCAGACTCTTCCGTTCCACCTGCCCCCTGATTGATCCGGTACGGGCGCGGAGGCCCATTATTGCTTCGCAGGGACTGCTGTGGGGTCGGCCCGCGTGCAGGGTACCCGCCGCGCAAGTCACCGTAACCTCCCGGAGGACCGCGAATGCTCACAGGGCTCTGCGGGGAGGCGTATTGCATCGGGTCACCATATCCTGATTGCTGTTGCCCGCCGCCGCCGCCGCCGCCGCCACCGCCTGGTGTCGGTCGGTTCGATCCGTATCCCGTGCGGCTGTCCTGGCGGCCCACCGGAGGAGGCATGGGGGGAGCGGCTTCAGCGTCGAGTCCAAACTGGAAGCCAGCATTGTCGAACTGATTAGTCGTGGTAGTAGCGCCCGCGCGGAGGTTAGGCTGTGAGCGTGCCCGGTGAGCCTGCGCGGCAAATCCTGGATTGTACGCCGCATATCCGGGTGCTCCACTCCCAGCTCCAGCTCCGGCCGGGGGTTTAGGCCTGGGATCTTCCAGACCTGGCAGATGCTCATCGATCGGGGTGCCGTGACCACCTACATCCGGCATTGCGTCGAAATTGGGCATGTCTGCCTCGTCATCGTCGTCCTCCTCCTCCTCGATGTGGGCTGTCATCGCTACCGGAGGCTCATGGTAGCTGTTCAACACGTCATGTGGCGAGGAGTAAGGGTCCCGATCGTGATATGATAGCTGTGATGAAGCACTCTGCGGGTAATACCCTGTTGACGAAGCGACGTTGGTGTTCACTCGCGGCGCTGTCGGACGAGGGGCGCCGCCACCAGCTGTACTGGGTCGTGGAGGAGGGACGGTAGATTGCAAGACAGGCGTATAGGTGCGTGTTGGGGGTGCGACGGCGGGGTCCCGGTAGGTGCTTTGTCCGGGATACAGTGGTTGGGCGACCGGAGGGGGGAACGGCGCGGCCGACTCGGCGGGCACGGTTGCGCTGCGGTTAATATGAGGCACCAACGGTGGTTCTTCCATGTTCGGATCGGTATGTGTGCGCTCCAGTCGATGAGGCGGTGGCGCACCGTAATCGTATTCTACTCCGCCGTGACCTGCAGAGTGTGGTGGTCTTCCTGCTCCTCCTGCTCCTCCTCCTCCTCCTCCAGGTCGTACGGGACCACCGGGTTGATGATCATGGTCGTAGGGGCCGGCGGGTGGTGGCCGGCGAGACATATCGTTGCGTCTAGCCTGCGAGTTTGAAGTCCCTGGCCGTTCCGGCGATCTGACCGTGGGGGAGGCCGGGCCTGGGCCTAGATCCAGGGCCGCCATGTCCTTCTCGACAGTCTTTACCGCCGCGGGTTTGCGTTTGTCCTTTAGCGGAAAACTGGGGAAGGGGTTATCCCACGATATATTCTCGGGCGAGGGCGGAGGGTGGATGGGTGGTCGAGGCCCTGTTGCATCGTTTAACACCGGTTCAATCTTCTCTCCCACATAATCAAATAAAAACAAAGAGATTCTCTCTCTCTCTCTCTCTCTCTCTCTCTCTCTCCTTTTTTTATCTCACTCACCCGGTCTGCTCTGGCCCCGTGGCCGGTCCCGATGCCTCGTATTGTCCTGCGCTGTCCCAGGCCTTTCGTTCCTGGAAGCAGCGCGACGGTCGTCATAACCAGCTGGCGGCTGCTGCTGCTGCTGCTGCTGCTGCTGTTGTCTCCCTCCACCATATGCATAGTTCTGGCTGTACTGTTCTTGATGTTGCTGGTGATGTTGTTGGTGCTGGTAGTCCTGATGGTGTTCGTGTTCGCCATACCCAGATGGCTGCGATCGCGACCGTCCCTGAGGCGGACCGTACGACTGCTGGGCACCGCCATATCCGCCCTGTTGACTGTTGTACCCGGGATCATGATACCCCCCTCCATTATCGCCGTAGTGGTTATCATATTGATTGTCATAACCGGAATCATGATATCTCTGGTCGTGGTAGTAGCCGCCATTATTCGCAGGGGCCTGATGCTGCTGGTGTTGCTGCTGGTGTTGCTGCCATCCTGTAGCCGCCGGGGGAGCGCGCTGGTCGTACCGGGAGGGCGGAGGCCGCTGCTGCGAGCGCTGGGGGTATGCCATGTATATCCAAGCGTGTGGAAGAAGAAGAAGAAGAAGAAGAAGAAGAAGAAGAAGAAGAAGAAGAAGAAGGATCTATAGGTCGCTTTTTATGATTTTTGATGGAGAAAAAATTGGCTTGGAGGTTGGTTTTGGTGGTGGCTCTCGGTCAAAGGCCCAGGCGCATAAAGGAGGGAGACGAAAAGAAAAGACAACACAGACTCCAGGCAAGGCTCTCGGACAGAGAGACGATAGACACGACTATCCAGCGATCTTCTACAAGAACGAGACACCGATTGAGTCTGTCAGAAACGAAGAGAAGAAGGACCGAGGGCGAAGGGGGGAGGAGGAGGTGGGGAGAAAGAAGTCAGCAGACGTGAAGATCGCCGGTCTCGAGTCAATAAGAATAGATAGAATAAATAGAATGAAATGATGATCCACGACTGTAATCTCGACGACACAATGGCAATTGGCAAAGGACAAAGGAAGGGCAACACGCGAGAAAGACTCGTTCGTGTTCGCTTTGAGGGGGAAGAAGTCGGTTAAGGAGAGCGAGATTAGATAATGAGAGTCGTTTTATTTAGTGGTTATAATAGACGACGTTATTATTATTATTATGATTATTATTATTATTATCAATTGGTCCTTATAATAAATGCTCCATAATATCCACAGTAATACCCTGAACCAAAGGGTCTATGGGTATGCTCTTATACTATTACTGTCCACGTTTCTATAGTTCCAAGACTCATGATATGAAGCTGGATAATAATACAATAATTATAATAAATATAGGTTTAATTGTTCTACTAATGCTGTTCCTGATACTAGTTACCTACCTAGGGTTTATGATACATTGTTGATACAAGATGACAGGGGGGGTTTCATCTATTGGTTGATCAATAAGAGAATAATAGTATTGATATTATCTATTAAGTAATAATTCTCTAAAAGAGTACCTGTATAGCTACTCTGTAGAGTATTCTTCTATACCCAGTAGAATGTGGACATCCAGCTCTGAAGGGAAAAAGAATTCACTATAACTACTAAAGGTACACTGTTCAAGACTAAACAACTACAGCCACCTGTCGAACCAGTCGAGAGCCTGTCTGTTCGAATCCTCCAAACACTTCCTCTCCTTGGGATCGTCGGGATTGCCTCGAACAGCAAACCCATGCCGTCCAGGCGTATAGACCCGATGCTCCATGGCCGGCAGCGATCTGCCCGCCTGTCTCTCCTGCTCAAGCACGGCCTCCACTTTATCCTTGGTCTCGATCTTGACTCCGAAATCCTCCAGCCCCCATCCATAGCTGACGGGGACGACCAGGTGTTCGACATCCCGGGGGATCACCATATTGCTCGGATGCAGCGCCACCACTGCATCCACCAGAGGAACCTTGCCCCGGCCATCGATTTCCACCATCTTGCTCTCCTGCGCCGCCCGGATCGCATATCTGCCCCCCCAGCAGAAACCGGCCATCCCGATCTTCACCGCGGGGGCAGTCTCCCGTCGCAGCGCGGTCAGGAAATCCACACACACTTTCTCTGTAGGCCCTTCCTTGTGCCGCATGAACCATAACGCAAGCGAGGGCGCGTTGGCAAGCATCCCCGAGTAAAACGACAGAGAGGACTGTTTCGTCACGTCGACGGGGATCGCCACGTCCGCGAACTTCAGCCGTATGGGATCCCCCTCGAAGAAATCAGGCAAGTAGACCAGCCACTCGCCCGACGCGGCGTATCCGTCTGCTATGAGCTTGTTGTTCGGTAGCTTCAGCCCGAAGATGTCGCTGTAGATCACGAGGATTCCGCGCGGCGTCTCTGTGTTGCCGACCACGTAGGTGTTGAGTCCGTGGATTATCTGTTCGGTTCCTTTCGGGAGGCCTTTGTGGATTGAGCCCTGAGAGTATATTAATAAAGCGAAAGAAGGAGGGAAAAGATGTGTACCTTGATGCACTCTTCACAGGGAGCCATGAGGAGCAGTAGGAGCAGTAGGAGCAGTAGGAGCAGTAGGAGTGAAAATAGTATTAAAGTAGGAGTAGAAGTAGGAGAATTATTAGAGCGAGAGATAACTTTATATAATGACGTCGTATAACCTGTCGGACGCTTTTCGGACAACTTGACCAGTTGGCTCGGGGCCGAAAACGACGCGAGAAGTGTGCGTATACATAAAATAAGCTTGCTGATAATACTTATAGTAGTATCACTTATAGAATATATTATAGGGTCTAGAGTATGTAGTAGAGTATAGCGTTGTGGTATTTCTGTACTATATATTCGGTTCTATACTTCTGGCAGACTCAACCCAGTTATACCAGTCCACCTCGTCGCCCACATCCCCCGAGTCTTCAGGCCACAGGCACGGTACAAAGTCGGCCATGCCCGGACCGAACCAGTCGGCTGGGGCAGTTGGGGGAAGAGGGGGAGCAGGGGGGTTGCCCGGGTAAAGTCCAACGCCAGACATGATCGGCTGGTTAGAGTGGACGACTTGGTTGTCTATGGAAACCACTCCGCCAGCGACGAGCTGCCGCCAGCGCTCGCGAAACAGCTGGACAGCGTCCGATCCGGCGGGGAACGGACCCGGACTGGCCGGCACAGGGATCCGACGGTCGTCGCGCTCCAGCTGCTCCGCGACGGCAGGGTCGCGGTTGATCCGGGCGAGTTCTGCCTGGCGATGCTTCCGAGCCTTGGACATGAGTTTGCGCAGCGGCACCCAGATACGGCGGCTCTTGTCCGTGTACGACTGCGCGGGGATCAGCCAGCTGCTGTGCAGTGCCACCCAGGCACGCTCCACCATGGGCGACCACGGCCGCCGCGAGACATCGATGAGCAGGTAGACAATTGCGTGCCAGTGCGTGTACGTCTGGTAGCCCCAGCGCCACTGGCGGCAGCGCGGCTCCGCATTCAGCGCGTGGTTGTACTCGGCCACCTCGATCGCCGCGGTCAACAGCTTGGCCCGGACCTCATCCGAGAAGCGGTCGCTGGGCGAGAAGAACAGCACGGGCAGGTAGATGTAGAGTGTCATCTTGGCCACGACCAGCTGCGTGATCGTCACCGCCACCCAGTGGATGACACGGCACGACTCGCTCGCGTACTGTAGGTACTCCTGCTGCAGGTGCTCGTACATCGCGTTCAGCAGCTGGCTCTGTCGGTCTAGACCCGTGTCCTCCTTGCCCGTCAGAGCCATCATCTGGCGCACATGACCACATGTGCTGAAGGACATCAATGCAAACGACATGTCAGTCAGGCCCTGGCGCTCCGCGGGCGCCTGCGCAGATTCGGGCCCGATATCGCTGTCGTTGATATTCAGCGGCAGCCTGGTGTCAAAGCTCCCGTCGGTAATCGTGAACTCGGTTCCCTGGTCCTCGGAGGCTCGAATGTCCAGCATACACACACACCACCACGCCCTCCGCCGCATCTCGATCTCGTACGGGCTCAGGTGCGGGAAGTGGCTGCCATCACGTTGCAAGCCGAGCGCCTGGGCCATCCGGATCAACAACCCCATCATCATCCACACAAACCGCGGGCTCTCGTGGCGCCGCAATAGACAAAGGAAGATGGCGAGTGCCTGTACCAGGACTAGATCGGGTTCATTGAGGAAATCGGCTGCCGCAAGCGCGTACTCTAAACCTCGCCGGTATTTTACGTTTAGATCCTGTTTGCTGGACCCGAAGTTGGTCATGACCTGACTATTATCAGTATTTCTCCCAAGACTATAAATATATATATATGCAACTCACGTCGTCTTCCTCCATCGAGGTGATTGCTGCGTAGTAGATCGAGAGCATCAGGGCCTCGTTGGACGGGGTGAGACTGGCCTCGTCGCTGCCACGTAAATCACGCACCATCCGTGTAATGGTGGGCATGTGGAGGATTTGCAACGGAAGGTTCACATTCTCGGCGAACACCTCCAGTAGAAAAGGAATCTGTGACGGTAATGGGCGAAAGTCCGACAGCTTGGACCCCGAGAGACCCAGATTATGTCGGAATAGAAACGCATGTCGTTCTAACGGCGTTGACTCCAGCTCTGCCCTGTCCACAGCTGGCTCCTCCTCATCCTCTGACGTATCCGAATCGTCGCCCGCAAGACCATGGGTTTCCATCTTCAACACATCCAACTACAAATCGTTAGAACGAATTTTCTAGTGCATTTATTTTCTCTCTTTCTCTCTCTCTCTCTCTCTCTCTCATGTACTCTACTTACCTCGTCGCTGACGCGAGACCAGAAGCTGCTGCTGATGTAACGGCTCCGGTTGGCATCCTCGAGGACAAGCCTACCGAACTGCTTCTGAAAACTGCTTGCCTCCGAGGCAGGCGACGACGAGCTCCGTTGCTGGTGCTCCGCGTTACGGTCTAGCCCAGGTGAGCTCCCCGCGACAGAATTCGCCGTGCTGTGAGCCTGCTCCAGCTGGCCGTTCAGTTCCGTGACGAGGGCCTCGAGCGTCCGTAGCCTCTCCATGACCTGGTCCACGCGAGGATCGGCGGTTTGTGCCGCCGCCTGAGGTACCTGGGATGTCTGATTGTCTGACGATTCTGATGCTACTGCAGTAGCAGCAGCACCGTTGGCGATGCGCTCGAGACGACGCGCCCAGCGGGGCGGGTGGTCACTCGAGGGCACGACGCAGACGATATTCGCCCGCCGGCAATTGGAACATGGCGACAGCTTGTCACACCGGACTTTGCGGCTTCGGCACGTCACACAGCTCCGCAATCTCGGCGCAGAGGCTGGGTTCTTCCTGGCGAGGGCGGGCGAGCTCGCGTGTTTCTCGGACACTGAAGCCGAGATCGTCCCGGACATGCTGTTCACAGGCTCTCAAAAGGCAGCCTTGATTAATTATTAGTTATCGCATACGCTTCTTTCTCGCTCTGCCTCGCTTTACCCGAGGGTATTTTCCCTTCTTTCCAGACCAGCTGCGTGAAAAGCAGCAAAAGACTTCGGGCTGCAGCCTGAATCTTGTGAAAGCCGTCAGGTTAGTCATTGATTAGTAATCATGAGCATAACCTTTGTACTGGCGATGACCGAACAGAACTCGAAACTACTGAGAACTCCATTTCCACTGCTCATATACTGATAGGTTTTAGGTATTAATAATAGATTTTCGTCTGTCATGATGGTGGCAGGTTAGTCTAGCCACAAGGGCTCTCTCTATACTAGCAGTATATCATTCCACTTGCCAAGTATGTGCTGTTCTACGATGACAGCTGGGATGGAGTAAGTATTGGCACAGAAAGAGCAGTACTTTGACCGAGTAGCCTGCCTATAACTTCAAGATGTGAGTCCAGATTTGAATAATTTATGTCTTGATGGCTTCACTAGCAATGAAGAATAACCATGTCGGCAGATGCGTCTAACCCCGGGTTGTCCGTAGGAAGACGACGAGGTGCATTTGGAAGTCCATCATATCATATACAATCACTTTAGCTACCTTGGCAGTTAATAGCTAGTAAATAGTGAACCAATAAATATACTTACAGTACCTACTACTATGTAATTTGATAGTGGAGCAAAGGAGCAATTAACTAGCAGCGGGTAGTTAACGTAAGCCAAGTGGATAACGTCAGCGATTTTGGTCTTGTTATCTTGGATAATCATTCCGTCATCCCTTCTTCCTGTCTCAGTTTCTATACACACACCATGACTACCGCAGCGGTGTTCGGTTGTACAGGAGCCGTGGGCTCTCAGATCCTCGCCACACTCCTCGCCGGCGACGCATTCTCCTCCGTCAAGACGGTCTCGCGGAGACTCCCCAAGAACACCGAGTCTTCCAAGCTCCAGGCCATCGAGGAAGGCGACACTTCAAAATGGGGCGGCATGATCACCTCGCTGTCTCCCAAGCCGTCGATTGTCTTCAACGCCGTCGGCACCACCAGAGCGGCAGCCGGGGGGATCGAGAACCAGTGGAAGATCGACCATGACTTGTGCGTGGAGAACGCCCGAGCAGCCAAGGAGGCCGGAGTGAAGACGTACGTGTTCATCTCTAGCGGCGGGACCCGAGGCTTTCTATCTCGCTATGTGCCTTACTCGAAGATGAAGATCGGGGTGGAGGATGCCATCCAGGAGCTTGATTTCGAGCAGGCCATCATCCTCCGGCCAGGTATGATTATCGGGAGGGAGACTGCCAAGGCTCCCTTCTTTGAGAGCGTTGTTGAAAACCTGAACAAGCTAGGACAGGGCGTCCAGGATAGGATAGGTAAAAGCGCAGAACTCAAACCTTTTGAATATCTGCGAATACTTTTACTAACTCGTTGAAGGTCAAAACCAAACCACTATCGGTAGAGCAGCTGTGGCAGCTGCTCGGATGGCCGAGGAGGGAAAAGCACCGTCGAAATACTGGATCCTGGAACAGGCTGATATCGTCAGACTGGGCAGAGACGAGTGGAAGGAGTAAGAGGCTTTATTGGGGTTTTATTACCGTGTAGTATCATACCTCTCTTATAGCGACACTACTCACTTAATTTGAATAATTGATTCTCTTCAGCTAGACTATAAGTATATGCTATCAATGTGTAATGAGTTGTTCGAGTGTAGTACAGTAAGGCTGCCTGCTCAGACTGATTATTTTAATAACCATGTACACGTGATGCTGCGCCACCGCCCGCGCCACTAATATCACAGCCACACCAGAACTCCGCGCGAATCATCACAGCTTCATTGCTCAGACCGAGTGACGACCTGGCAGGTTCTATTCCCCCCTCTGCAGTTTATTCTTCTTTTATCTTGGTGTTTTCGGCATTTATTACCGCCATAATGTCCCGGGCAGGTACCTGGCTAAAGATGCTCATTGCGTAAGTGGTCCTACCTTCGTGCAATTATCCTATTCAAGCGCATCTAGCTCAGCATCATACTAATGGGCTATGCAGAGGCGCGGCAGTTACGATCGGAGGCCCCGCGTTCGTGCAATATATCCGACCGACAGACGAAGAGCTCTTCAAACGGTATAACCCGGACCTACAACGCCGCAGTCTCGAGGAAGGGGAACGTCGCGCGCAGGAGTTTGACGAGTACGTGACCAAGCTGAAGGAATGGTCGCGATCGGACAAGTCGAGTAAGAGCGTGCAAATTTTTATTTTTATTTTATTTTATTTCGTGAGGCCATGCTAATGGGCTTAGTCTGGCTGGCCGCCCAGGAACAGGAAGAACAGAAACGAGTTCAGGTTGAGGCGCAGCGGGCCCAGGCCAAGGACGAGGCGAGGATACAGCGGGAGGAGATGCGGAAGGAGTTGCTGGGAGGGAAATAGATAGTCCTTAGGTAGGGTACCTAGGGTCATTGTTTTGATGGATAGGTTTTAACTATTGTCTGTACTTTACTATCAAGGAGTTGGGTTGATATTCAAAAGCATTATTCACTGTATATAGCTATACAACAAACCATTGATTCAGGGAGTCTTTTCGACCCAATCACGCGGGTATACAGAGTACTCTTTATACCCATATCTCGTTCTTCTATTCTGAAGTACTCGTACGAGAAGGTAATAGAACTATGTCATTGTCAGGTACTGTAATCTTAGTGAAACGGTTGCCACGTGAGTTACTATGGAGTACCTAATGCACGATGCTAGTACCGTGCCTTAGGCTTTGCAGTCAATCAATAGAAGCTTCATGAATGAGCAAGAGTATGTAGCAGAGCCAATGGAATTTTAGACTATAAATAAATCCAGATGATAGAAATACTGGTAATTAGGTATGCCTGCCTAGGAGTACCCATTTGTCTATTGAGTTGCCTGGCAGTGCCAGACTTAGCCATAAATAGCCGTCACGTGACTCCATCCCGGCCGGACCGAAACGCCTCCAAATTCTAGTGAGAGAAGGAGGTGGGCGGCGCTTTATCATCACACCCTGTCAGCTTTCCCCAACCCTCGTCACACTATCCCATCGCTACCCGTTGCTCCGGTCGCCCACCTAGGTGCTCTCTGCAGTTGTCTCTCTGATATTCCTATATCTTCTGCCGTCCTTTGTGCTTTGAGAGCCGTTTGCCTGTCTTCCGTGGATCTCCCTGCGGGCCAGCACCCAAACAAACCCTCCGTCGCAATCACCCGACAACCGCTGGTCAAGTCCTTGCCAGTTTCTTACAGCCCATTGCTACTACCATAACCAGCTCACTCGTCGCCATGTCTGAACAGCCTTACGATCCGTATATCCCTTCTGGTGCGAATGGCGCCCACGAGGCGAGCGCCGCGAGTGGCGGTAACCAGAGGACGGCCGCCCTGCAGAACGTGAGTCTCACCTTGTCTTGATCTCAAAAAAAAGAAAAAAAAAAAAAAAAGGGCCATCAGCCTGCTAACATGGTGTGCTAGACCATCAACGACACCGTCAACGTGATGCGTGAGAACATCAACAAGGTATCGCAACGTGGCGAGCAGCTGGATTCCCTGCAAGACAAGACAGACAACCTGGCCGTGTCCGCGCAAGGGTTCCGTCGCGGTGCGAACCGGGTGCGCAAGCAGATGTGGTGGAAGGATATGAAGATGCGTGTGTGCCTGGTTATCTGTGTCATCATCCTGATCATCGTCATCGTTGTGCCGAGTACGTCAATTCTCCAAAACACATGTCTTTCCCGCATACTGACTGCCTTCAGTTGTCACCGTCAAGAAAGGCTAAGCCGCCGAGACATGCGTTATGCTTTGGAATGGTTTTCTGTTGTGGAGCACTGATTTTCTTATTGTTTTTTTTTCTCTCTTTTCTTTTGTTATATTTCCTTCTGGCCGCTAATACCTTCTGCTTGTTGGGGCGTAGACTTGACGCCTGTTTTCACGACCAACCGGTGTTCTGTTTTCTCCCTCCCTCTGTCCTTTCCCTCGCTCTCCGCGAGTCCTGTCTCATTTACTTCCCGGATGAGCCCATGGCAAATGAACGGCGAGATGTACATGATATACTCTAACTCTAGTGATTCCATGGTGGACCGCCGATTTGCGGTGACGCCTTGATAATGACCCTCCTCTACTGTTATCCCTGTACGGAGTAATGCAGACAGATGCCAGACACCGCCAGAACAACTCCTACGTAACCACTTCTCCCCCCGTCCAGCCTCCCAAGCCTGCCTAGGTAATTAACGGACAAGCCGAGCTCCACCGTAACGTAACAGAGGGCAAGACATTCTCCGCCATGACTAAAAAGATCTGATAACGACGAGGAAATGAGCGGCCTGAAGAATCAAGAATAGATTAGACGTGCCTCTAATATCTGCTTTGGCCATTATTAAGCCGTTTAACCTACTCCGTATTCCCTGTTCGACTATTGCTGCTCCCAAGGATCAATTATGCACCAGGCACTGACTCATCGGGTCCGCCTCCGAAAGTCGCAGCCGAGCGAAAAGGAAAAAGTCCCAACCGACCTTTAAGCTCTCCCCTCCTCCTCCTCCTCCTTCTGTCTTCTCTCCCCTTTCTCTCTCCTCCC